CTGGGCTAGGTGCTTTGATGGTCCAGCTCCTGAGCAATGGCGAGGCAGGGCTATGATTAGAAATCTTGGGGACCTGAATCCTGAGGATGATACCTCTTACCAGTTTCTGAAAGATCTTGAAAAACAAAGTGCTCATCGTCAATCTCGGCAAGTTCAGCCATATAATCCTGAAATCAGAGTGCAATTCAATGGGGTTGAAAACAATGGGGAGCAATTCAAAATCAGGAGTTTCGATTGTTTTTACTGTCCTCATGATCACCTGCTGCCTTTTCTTTCTTCGGTTTCTTTGACGGCGCATTGTTGGAGTCATCCATAGGCTTTACATTATTCTTTGACGGCTTTTTCGGTTCATCTTTCAAGGGCTTTGCTGGCTCGGGCTTGGGATCTGTCGCATCTGCCTTTGCTTGAACACGGTTTGTTACAGAAGGTTTTTTTTGCTTTCCAACTCCTTTGCCTCCACCTCTACCTCGGCCTCTCCCTTTTCCTCCGCGACCCCTTCCTGCTGGTTTCTTCATTACATCATCACGTTCTGAACATTCTGATGAATCTTCTCCGCGTTCTTCTGGCTGCCCCCCACTGCGAGCAGCTTTGCGTAGTGCTTTTTGGGCCTAGCAACGACCACCCCCTAAATTTGCAGTACCCTCAAATATCATATGACTGATGCGTATCTAAGCATATGATGGATTCAAAATGGAATTTGAATTCGATTCGATCACGAAGTTGCCCGGCCTGTCGAAGGTCATGGTGCTCAAAGCTGTTCTGCTTGTCCATCAGTCGCTTGGTTGCTGCAGCTGCTGCAGCCGGGAGATCCATTGGCACGCATAAGGGCTTGGTATCCTGCAATGACAATGAAAACAAAATTGATAGCTAGTACCTATCAGGGTGAAACTTTTTGAGAAATAAGTCTTTCTCAAAAAAGTGTTGAATCAGATTGTCAAACATTATCAAGCTAGTCCTTGAAAGTTCCCTTCTCACCACTTTTTTTGTCTTCCACTTCACTTTCACTTTCTTGGTGTGGGGATTCCTTCCCTTTGTGAACAGGTTCTGCAAGATCAGGGGTTTTTCGGCGAAGTTTAGGATCACATTCAAGTAGGTCAGGAAACAATTCCCTCTGTGTATGTCGGGTGGCTTCATTCACCAAATCTTCATCCGTTTGACCAGTTCTAAGACGCCACTTCCTTTCTGTTTTTTTGGGAATCGGAACTTCTTCGTCAGACTTGGTTGGGGGATCCTCCATATTCATGGGATGAATTTTCTCCATCCAAACTTCGGCATCAGCATCGCTTTCACCTGATTCCCTGACGCTCTCAGGCTTTGACGCTTGTCTCACATACGTCGTCCCAGCCTGAGAAACCGAGGGGCCAGGAAATATCTGACGATTTCAATCCTGAAAATATGAGGGACGGTGTTGAAATATATATATATATATGTTTGTATTGAAAAAGGCTTGAGTTCCTGGCGGATCTCACAACCTTCGGCTGATGTTCTTCTCGGTACTCCTGACCCATCGATCATAAACTTAATCTGTTAGTTGATTTCCATACTCCAAGAACGATGGTGTTCATCCAATGCAAAGTGTTTAATTAATAATGTTATGATGATCTGATCATAGCATTATTATTAAACAGAAGATTTTAGAAGTCCCGCCTTCATAGCAGCTTTGTAAGCCTTCTTCAGCACATCCATGTCGTTATGTCCAGGCCTGTGCAAAGCTAAAAATTCCATATGGTTGAACATTAATTGGAAAATTCAATGCTATGGCCTTGTTCCAGCATTCCGCTTTGCTCTCTCAGAGGCATATGAAGCGCAACCACGGTGTAAGTCACCTTCAGTTTCCAGCCATTCCTGCCCATCAAACTGAAATGATAATGGTTATCAAAGGTTCATTGGAGCCTATAAGTAGATATTGGAATATCTACTTATAGGCTGTGGCTGTTACCCATCAAACTGAAAACTATATAGTAAAAGTAAAAGGTTCAACAGAATAAATATCCACTAGGTTGAAAGAATGAATCATTTGCACTGATGCTGGGTCCTCTTCTTCTTCCTTTGAATCAAAGGAGTTCAATCGATGCAGCTTGTTGACACTCTTCAAAGCAGCCTAGCTAGTCAAAGCAGCTGAGACCGACATTGATTTACATATATGTTTTTCCAAATGCCCACAAGATGATAAAATCTATCAATGAATTGGGCCTGGACTTCTTTCTTTGTTGGAGGGCATCCAACAAAGTCTGCAACCGACACCCACCGCAGCACAAAGTCGAAGTTGTCTTTTGAGGTCACCTCCCATAGAAAGTGGAATGATATACACCTCCCAAAATCATTTCTGAAGGTTTGCCCTGCCTGGCTCTCATCGATGAATTTGGAAGTGATGTTGATGAAGGTAAACACCACTGGTTCCTGACCGGGGGCCAAAATTATCCCCGAGCAAAGTAACTAAAAAAATTGCATTGATATGCCATGTGATCTTAAAACTATCAATCTATATCAAACAATATCGCCTTCTTGCTTTTGCGATCCCGCTTGTTCTGCTGGTTCCTCTCCATGATATACTCAGGGGAAAGGAAACTGCCATAGAACTCCTCCCAGGGATGATCGAAAAAAAACTAAATCCCCAGCAAGAAAGGTCCCAGGCTCCTTGAGCAATTCGACTTGCTCAGGTTTTGGCTTAGAGTCCGGCATGGTTCTTCGGGTACAGCTGGCTGCAGCGTGCAGAAGAAAAGTGTGGAACCGAACCTGTATGTTTTTCCCTTAAGGGGTTTTCACTTCTTTGGGGAGTTGATGGCCCTGAATATGATGTGTGATGTAATTATTACCCCTTTTATCCCCTTTTAGATCGCTAGGATTATTTGAAGACCATGTCTGAAATAAGCTCATGAGATCAAGATCTAATTAGTCATTTGAGCCAAGATATCAGTTGGCAAAATTATCAATTGGCAAGATATGGCAAATTTTACCTTAAGGAAAAAATTGCCATATCTTGCCCTTGCAGTTTCTCCAGTGGACTCCAGTGGCATGGCGGGGCGGGCCAGCTGACCTCGAGGCCCTGGGAGTTCATCATCCATCCTGGCATAACCTGAGCAGATGGTTTTTTTTTTAAAGGGGGGGACCGAAAAAATATCGCCAATCTCAAAATTGGGAACCCCATGAAAATCAACCCAAAAAGTTTAGGGTTATAAAGGGATTTCCAATTTTGAGATATGAGCTAAGACCCTGGCGCTTGCGAAGAGCGCGCGTACCCGCACGCATAGTGCAATGAATTAATAATTTGAACCAAATGGCTCAACATCCCCCCGTGATAACCTCATATTGGGATATGATGGTAAGATCTTCAAATACTATATAGTACTCATTGGGTCTGATAATGCCAAGTAAACACATGTCGCTTCCAAAGACAAAGTTAAACTTTGTCGTTGTGAAAGACAAAGTTAAACTTTGTCGAAGACTGAGTGGGAATAACAAATGCCATCGATAAACAGGAATGCCAAATTGCAGTTTTTCAAAGTGGCAAAAAAGAGTAACCAGCACAATGCCACGAAAATCAAGAATGCGAAGAGCTCACTACCAACTTGTTCATCATTATCAGCTAATGGTGCATCTTCAAGGCCTAGTGGATTTGCCTCTTGGTTGGACATGTTGTCATCATGCCCCCCGAAATGGAAACTCAAGGTGGATGCGTCTGAAGTTTCAGGTCCCAAAGAGAGGCCTTGGGAAGAGCTATAATCTGCTCCGTCAGCTTCATCGATAAACACCCAGCCTCTATAGTTTCTTTTGTCTGGGCAGTAGTAAGATGGACGGAATTCAAGCAGCGCCCTCTCAATGTGAATCAGCATGTCTGTGCCTCGTTTGTTTGCAGTACTGCGCCCCTGCAGGTTCCAAAGCAAATACTCTGTGAAGGTTTCTCCCACTGTATCAAGAGAGTTGTTGCATCCAGCGCAGGATGCTTGCACAGCAATGTCTTTTCGCTCCAGGAGTTCAGCTTCATTCACCATCTTCCCCGACTCACATGCGTCAGAAACGATCAGAAGGTGTTGAGCTGTTCCAAGTTGCACGGCAGAATCCCACTGCTCCAAAATGTCACGAAGCCCAAGGGTACCATCAGACAATTTCCACGACCCCTGGCACCCATGGAAAACTCCATAAAAAACATGTAATTCGCAATGTATCGTTGATGTACTCTTTGGCCCGGTCCAGGGTCAGCTTCACGCCATAAACGCAACTGGCAGGTATCTTCGCCCTTCGGAAGAATTGGCTTAACTTTTCTGCATTGTAGCTAGCACCTGGGAGTTTTTCCTCACCAGGAACCTCACAAGACAGTACGAGGGCATGCTTTCCGGTTGCCATGGCTTTGTGGCAAACACGTTTACTTTGAGCAACCCATGGCTGTCAATAAAAGGTGATAAAATAGAGACGGACAGGAGTCCAAAAGCCACTCCCTGCCTGCAAAAAGTCTTGGTAGCATCCAACGGGCGAATACAACAATTTCCTCCCAATTACAAAGCTCCCGAATGTGCCTTTTTGGTTCAAAAGGCAGCTTCTGTGCATTGACCCTTGTCATGAATTTGCAAATCTTCGGACGCCCCACTAAAATGACTGTGTATATATATATATATGAATTGAATGGAGGCTTAATGAGGGTTTGATGAGATATATTGGGATGTAACGGGGAACATTATGGTTAACCAATGGATGGAATGGGGTACCCTATGTTCAGACAAACTCATATATGCTCTAGTCCCTGGTTTCAATTTTCACAATCAGTATTTTATTTCAAGCTTAGTCCTTCAATACCCTTCAATATCGTACCATAATTTATGGATGTAATGGGCTTTCTCAAGTCCATTTGTTAGAAAAAATCTTAGGAAGCACATCTATTTATTGGGTTGACAGTAAATTTATCGGATGTTTTCTCAGGTCATTAAATACAGTATTCTTTGTAGGTCAAAAACGGTCAAACTCCAAATTTTTCGCCGATCAAATCCACATCAGCGCCATGTCTCGTAGTCACGTTGGCGAAAGGGCGGCCAGCCCCTGCTGCCTCCAGCGAACGCGCGGCGGCCTGCGGCTCCGAAGGGTTTTCGGGCAAACGTTGAAGTGTAAAAAAGTTGGATTTAATGGGATTATAGTTGGTTTTTGATGGGATTGAAATGGGAATTTAATATATATATATATATAGAGAGAGAGAGTTACAACAAAAATGTAGAACTTGTAGAAGTTAATGTGATTATAATGGGATTACATTAGGGTTGCAATATGTTACAATGATGTAGACAACATGGCCCATCCTCAATACACTGCAGAAAAACCGTAGAACACTACTACTACCGCTAATTCCTCGTTTTTGGCAAAGACGTGGTCCACTCACACTCTCTTCTCAAACCCAGTCGGTTTACCAAGATAAGGAAGTTAATTTGGGGGCGGAAATAGGCCATAAGAAATGATGATCTGGTTGTTGGTTGGTAGGTTTTTGCCACCTGGCCCCCCAAAAAATGTTAAAATTGAGTCTGATTAGGAGGTCATCTCCCAGGTTCGGATGGATTTCCGATTCACCAGCCCCATTTGAAACGATCATATCTCGCTGAATTGCCATGAGCAACCTGAAAATAACTTAAACAAGGCCATTTGGGGATGATTCCCCTTTCATTCACCATCATTCCAGCCTGAATTATACTTGGCTCACAGTTTCACAGCGGAAGAAATTGATTCGCCCTCGGGACATCCTGTGTTGCTGTGACGTCCCAACAAGTGGTGTGTCTGAAAATAGGCTACCCCTAAATCCACGGGTTAAACTTCAAAGTTGGGAGGGCCCACCTCCAATTTCAGAGGAATGATATTGGATATGACTAGTTGGTCCGTTATGATCCCATTATATCCCCAGAGTGTAACAACATCCCCATGAAATTCAATATCATTCCCGAAAATACCACGTTAAGTCACCACAAGTCATCACCAAAATCGCGCTTAGGGACCCTCCAGCAACCCAGTTGCTGCGCCTTCTGCTGATCTGGCGTCATGATGCGTGCTTCTTCTTGCACCTTTCTCAGCTTCCCAATGTCCTCGCCATGCGTCAGGCGGTTCCCCTGTGGAAAATCAAACGGTCGTGGTTAGGAAGTCGATTCAACCAGCCTCTATAACTGGGATGTCTTGGGTTCCAATTCTGACTACTTAGCTAATCTGGCAACATCTGGGTTTCCTAATCTTGGACACCCTAAACCCACACTCTGCCCACGCTCAGTTCCATATATTTCCACCTTTTTGTAGCCATTCCCAAGGTTTATCCAAATAGGTCTGTCCCCAAAACAAGGTCGCCCCAAAAATTGCCATCTGTCATTACCTAGTAATCGGTTGGATTGTGCGTTTTCTTTTAGATACCTTGCCCGATTTATCACTCGCACCAGAATTGCGAAAGATTTACTACATAAATGTCCATCTGGTAATCAAACGTGGCAGTGGACATCCCCTCTTTATGGAGGTTTATAGATGGGAAAATTCTCGAATGAAATGGGTGATGTTGCATTGCCACGGAGTTGGCGCCCAGCCAAGTTCTGAACACGGTGTTTCAACCACTATTTGACTGGGATAATTTTGGATAAATTGGGGGTTGCTATGAGGCAGAATAGACATTCAAAATCATTCCGAACATGTTCAAGAAGTAAATCATCTTGAAATTGGTATTCTTATGTAATTTCCATTGCTATATATTAAATGAATTTGTTTGAAAATAAGGCGCCCGTTTCCATTCACTCGTTGACCATCTCATGTTCCCTCTTGTTTCATTGTCATTTGGGGTGCGTACCCCATTGTCAGACACGCCTAAATTGGATATAGTTGGTCACTTACATTCCATTACATCCCTTGTTTAGTGGTTTAATCACTAGTATACCCAAAGTATATATATATATACTATAATGTTGCCATGTTTGTTGGTAAGATCTTATGTGTTTTCAATGGCTATGTGAAATTACCAAATAGTAAATTACCCTAGGTGTTAACCCAGGTGAGCGATTAAAACTCGCAGTTTTCCCATCTCATTATACTAGTTGGTTGATAGGTTTCCCTACAACTGGTGAGTATAACTTATCATATTAATCTATCAACCAGATCAACCCATATTATCCTATAACCTCTACTACCCTCTAATATATATATATATATGTATAGTTGTATATATATATATATAATTGACCTATGTTAACCAATCAACCACGTTTCGGAACCTTGTGGGCGCGCGCCGACATGTTTACTTTTTCATTCATATCTTCAGCCATGCGTTGTCATCTGACACTTTCCCAAATTTTTTGGGATCGCATCCAACCTGAGACATTCTGGCTTGCCGGTAGAAAGCCATGGCCTGCAACACTGTTTCTAATCCGGGAGAATCTAAAATTTTTTGCATCGCCAAAGGAATTATGTGCGACTGGGATGGCTGCATTCGACCTATTTGGTTGACACGTCTCAGAGATCGCTTGACCAAGTCAAATTCATGAAGAGAAGATCTAACAACGTAACATCACGTGTGTGTGCAAGTGCAAGAGAAGATCTTACAACGTAACATCACGCGTGTGTGCAAGTGCAAGAGAAGATCTTACAACCTAACATCACGTGCGTATGCAAGTGCAAGAGAAGATCTTACAACGTAACATCACGCGTTTGTGCAAGTGCAAGAGAAGATCTTACAACGTAACATCACGTGTGTGTGCAAGTGCAAGAGAAGATCTTACAACGTAACATCACGCGTGTGTGCAAGTGCAAGAGAAGATCTTACAACGTAACATCACGCGTGTGTGCAAGTGCAAGAGAAGATCTTACAACGTAACATCACGCGTGTGTGCAAGTGCAAGAGAAGATCTTACAACGTAACATCACGCGTGTGTGCAAGTGCAAAAGAAGATCTTACAACGTAACATCACGCGTGTGTGAGTGTGCCCCCCCCACCCCCCCCACCCCCCTGTTCCCCACCCCAAAAATAATAACATGTCATGCGGGCACAACTTCTAACTGACGGGCACAACTTCTAACTGACGGGCACAACTTCTAACTGACGGGCACAACTTCTAACTGACGGGCACAACTTCTAACTGACGGGCACAACTTCTAACTGACGGGCACAACTTCAACGTACCACCACGAAACACTGCCCACAGTGAGCGAAATGAAGATAAACGCGCCCTCACAGGCAGTTTTGCGCTCTCCCCCGTGCGCGCCGACAGGGTTCCGGAAGGATCAACCAGGGTATAACTTTAGTGGCTCAGGTAGCGCTCCTTGATACCGGCGTCTTGCGCAGCATCCACCACCAACTTCACACCGTCGAAACTGGTCTCAGTGCGGCGTTTCGTCAAACGAAACGCCCAGCAGGTGATGGGTGATTCTTGTCACCAAGTCATGGCCGGCTCGATGGCGAAAAATTATAGGAAAACATGGGATTGAATGGGATTTAATTGCCATATGGCAAAATACCATTAGATATGGGTAAATACGGATTTAATGGAAGTTAATGGCGAAAACTTATAGGACAAACATGGGGATTTAGACCATAGAAACCGAGATTTAATATGATATGAATGTGGCTGAAATGTGATATAACTGTGATATATAACCGCCTTGATGGCTTGTTGTTCCCCTGCCAAGTCGGTTTAACTTTGAGTCGTGGGACGGGTAATCTCATCGAATCCCGAAAAGGTTCAAAATCCAAGAGTCTACCCTCTGCTCAATTAACATAAACCCCGAAAATCGCCTATTTGTGTTGGAAACTCTTCTTCCAACCCCTATCTGGCAGGGTCTATGTTAATTTACAGGAGGGTAAGTGTATGGCTTGCATCCAGCCATGCAAGAAGAAGATCGGGAACTTTGATAAACCTTGGAAATTTGGGGGTTCAGATTTTGTGGCAACCCCGTACCCTGATAGGCGAGCTTAGTAACCCCCCTTGGCAGTTTGTTCATCCCCTTCAAAAAGGCATTATATTTTATCAATGGCCATTTCAGGAACCTAAATTGGAGGTACCTACCATATATATATATATATATATATATGGCCTATGTAAGGGAATATCCCCACAAAATATGGCCTTATATATGGTACAGTACCTCCATTTTAGGATCCTGGAATTCCCAGTGATTTTATCGGGGAATATGAGGAATATAGGGCATCTATGGCATGAGCATCCCCTAGCCCATTCCCTATGATTGGACAACCCCAGTTTTCCCATAATTCCCCTAAATTTATTCCATGATCATCCCCTAATTACCCATATATTGTTTCAGTGTTGTTTTTATGTTTTCATCATAGCATGATTTGATAACTATTTAACTTCAGATATTTAGATTGTACATCAGTGGTAGTAGTAATGCATGGAAAAAACATCAGCATCATTTGAACTTAAACAATTAAGTACTGTATACTGTATTTATTTACCTCTGCGACAAATGCGGGGTTGACTGGATAAACATGGTTACCATTTGTCACCTCATCACTGGTTAGCATTACCCTCTGGTAAACTAACATAGCTATTGAAAATGACCATTTATAGTGGATTTTCCCATTGAAAATGGTGATTTTCCATTGTTATGTTAGTTTACCAGAGGGTACCTATAATCACCCGTATAGACCTGTAAGTACTAATTACTACCTGCTATGCAATTGTAGCTAGTCCTAGTAATTGATCATGAATGATCACCCAATGAAACTACCAATAATTTCCCTATATTGAACTAGTTGTGACTATTGAATTAATTAATATCAGTTATAACTCCCCGTTATGCCATTTAATCCATTTTAAACCTTAACTCACCACATTTTTCTCCACCACGGCACCGTGGTGGAGCTGTGCCCTTCCGCCTCTTGCGCTGCCGCGGCAGCGGCAGAGATCACCTACCGCGGTTGTGGGTTTTCAGGGTTGATCCTATGGAAAGATCCACCATTTTACAGCTGGGTAAATCCGCTATTTCGACTGGGCCATGGCTTCAATAGCGAACTGTAACAAATTACCAGAGGGTATCTTAAGGTTTGATGATTTTATGGTGATTTATGTTGATTTGACATAGGCTAAACACCAAAAAGTGGATAAGAGAGAGAGAGATATATATATATATAAGATTCCGGAAAACAACTATATAAAGTTCTAAAAGTGTTCAAATTCATCAAATAGAAAATCTCTCTGGATTCTTCAGGGATTGACTGATAAATCTGTTCATTTGCTTGAGTTATGTGTTTATTCAATAGGTTTGTCCACGTAGGCCAATTTTATGTAGGTACCAGTATATGTAGCTCTGTTTCTCATAAATGGGGATGGGTTAAAATGTCAGGCTTTACAAACCAAACGTGTTGGTCATGTTTCAGTTTGGAGTGCACAATTTCGCTCAATTTCGACCCATACCCAGAGGAAGGGTCACAGCATTTCAAGCTGTTTGCACCGCTAGAGGATCAGTTATTCCTTGAGTCAATGGGAGATCTCCAGGATCCAATTGATGGAGGTACGTTAGTACCATATTTCAGGCCATATTTTGTAGGGATATTCCCTGAAATTTAGGCCTTATATAGGCCTTATATATGGTAGGTACCTCCAATTTAGGATCCTGGAATGGCCATTGATTGAGGTATGCCAACTGTTGAGTGATAGTTCATGTGGTGGATTGCTGAAAGTCTTAGTGATCATTGTAGTCGCGGCAAAGTCGCTGATAGCACCATCCACCCTACTCCACACGGCTGATTAGTCGGGTCATACCAGTGAAATTTTCCAATCTTAGCGTTCATCTATGGGATTTGCATCCTTCTGAAGCCGCTAGAACTCAAATGTCTATAACCTCCAATAAACTAACTTAATCATGGAAAATCAGCATTTTTAATGGGTAAATCCACTATAAATGGCCATTTCAATAGCTATGTTTGTTTACCAGAGGGTATCTCCATTCAGAATGCTTCACATGCCCGATATGGACTCCGGTCTTCATACGGAATACGCCATCCTGGCTCCCCATCCTAGTTGGCCAACCAATCCCACCAAAGGAAGGATTGCTGATGGACATGGGAAGATAGAAGCATGTCCAAAAGATCACCATCTATGTATATATATATATGTGTGTGTGTGTGTATCTATATATATATATATATCATTCTCCATCTATGGCACCCACATCGTCGGACTGTAACAGTCTCGCTGTCATGCCCCCCCGCATGTTGCAGAGATCAGACAATTGGCTATTACTTTGAATGCCTGTCGGGTCCATGCCATATATATATATATATATCCATCTATGGCACAAGATTAAGTGGTACGAAAGTATCCATCCAGTAGGTTTTCCCCAGCTCACCAGTCATATCGTATCCTCATGTCAAATTGTTCTTAAGCTGTATGATCCTGAATTTCCCACATACTTGTTGGACTTTGGATACTTAAACCCTTGTCTCTAATACTAATTCCCCATGAAATATATAGATATAATAACTATATAATATGTATATATATATGTATATATATATGATGTGTAAATAAATATATATATATATATGATGTGTATGTATATATATATATGTATATTAATTTATGTATATACAATCGTACAGTGTACAGCTGGATTGGGAGTATCCTTGCCTGAAGCTTCGTCTGAGGATCCACATCCAGGCTGGCCACCGCCTACGATTCGTGGGAGCCACCTCGTTGTTGAGATATATTGCTATAAATGTATATGTATATAGGTGTATATATATACACATTTACTTATTAACATATACGTATATTTATCTACATATATATATAATATAAATATAATTACTATAAATATATAAATAGAATGAACATGATGTTTGGGTTTGCTGTTCCAGTGAAGTTTTTGTGGAGATATATCACCATTGGACCATTGTTACAACGGCTATACCCCAAATCATGGACATGCGCGGATTCAGAAACTAGAAAAGCGTGATTCGGACACTGGGGTGAGTGCTGCTTCGGAAATTGTGGTTCGGAAAGTAGAAAAATGGATATGATTCGGAAACTGGGCAAACAAGATTCGGACACTGGGAGGAACATGATTCGGAAACTAGGATGAGCGCCGGTCCGAAACTATGGTTCGGAAACTGGAAACAAAACAGGATGCAGAAACTAAGATTCGGACACTGTGTGAAACGTGATTCGGAAACTGAAAAGGGATGATTCAGAAACTAGAAAAACGTCGTTCGGAAACTGGAAGAAACAAGGAAATTAGCTGGTTGGTGGTTTCAACCCCTCTGAAAAATATTAGTCAGTTGGGATTATTGTTCCCAACTGAATGGAAAGTCATAAAATTCCATGGTTCCAAACCACCAACCAGCTATACTAACCATGATTCGGAAACCTGAAGGACATGATTCGGAGAAATGACGAATCTTGGTTGGGACGACCCTGGCACAGCCGCTGACTGGATGCTTTCCAAGGCCTGGGCTTATCCCATGTTATGGTTGAACCGTTCAACGATGTTACATTGCCAAACTTAGATGCCCTACAAAAAAATCTTAGCTGGTGAACGTAGATATATAATTAATATTACATTTACATCTGGTTGGTGGTGCAATAACCATCTTGAAAAATGATGGAGTTCGTCAATGGGAAGGATGAAAACCCATATATGAAATGGACAAATAATCCAAATGTTCCAGACCACCAACCAAATATTTATACATATCCCCAAGTTGCACATATGTACATAATTATATGATTGAAACCACCAACCAAACATGATATTTCTAGCAAAAGATTCAAGAATACTGCGACACATCCAGTTGGTTAACCTCTTGGAGGGTGAAGCAAGGGACGGTTACGAGTACCGTCCCAGGCCCCAGGTGATGGCCAGCAAACCCCATGAAATTCCATAGCTTTTCTAGTGCAATCCCCAAAAAAACATATTAAATCCCAGTAAAACCCCTCTATAATCCCAAATTAAAACCATTAAATGCCATAAATGCAAGAATTACTTATGTCATTACAATCCTATATAATCCTATTGTAACTTCATTACAATCCCACTAAATTCCTATTGAACACCATTAAACCTCTTTAAAATATCTTATAATCTCATTCCTGGGAAATCCAATTGCGAATATTATAATTAATCCTATTAGAACTCCATTTAATCCATATTAAATCCCATGAAATCCCATTGAATCACTCTGAAATCCCATTAAAACCCCTCTATAAGCCCATTATATATATATAAATCCCTACCAAACCCCTCATTTTCAACGGGATTTTTCCATCTTCCCATGGTTCTCTCCGTTTCCACCCTCCGCGCCTGTGCCACCTCTTCCCCCACCAGCTTCGCCGCCCCCGTGGCAGTGTGATACGTGGGCTCGGAGTAGGTGGCGCTGTCCGTGGTGGTGCTGAGCCTCGAGCTACCAGGAAATCCAGGAACGGAATGGAGGTTTGAGACAACTCAGATGCATATACCTTTTTTAACCTGCATTTACAAGGGATTGTCCTTCCATGATTAATAAGTTATATAGCTATATATATATATATAACTATACATACATACATATATATATATAGACTTAGCTCACTGGAACTTAGGCAATTTCTAGCTATAAAACCTCCATTTGTTACAAGGGATTTTCCCACAGTTTTTTTTTTCTGAGTTTCATGGTTTCGGTGATTGTGAAGGACTGAATCGGGTGACACTTCAGGGTACCCTTTGGTATTGGCCACTATAGATCATAGGAAAATCATGGGAAATCGTAGGAACAAATTGGACAATCATGTGGAAATCCAGGAACTAAACGGAGGTTGTAATTGGTACAGAATTTGTATAAATGTACTTATGCATGCATGCATGTAGGTAGGGATGGATGGATGTATGTACGTGCCCCACGTGTGCATACGCGACATAATAATAGTTGACCAAGGCACAAAAAATGGGGAATATGTTTTTTGATGAGATTTTACCAACAAACATGATGAGCTAATATAGTGACTGACTTTTAGTCGGAGATACTCTCCGGTAATTAAACGTGGCTAGCTGGAAAATCGTATATCAATGGAGGTTTAATGGCGGGGCCAATCTATGAATTGCTGATTGGTTTGATGACCAAACAATATACTTGTATACTTGAGGTACCTGGTATTACTAGCGATCAGGAAATTAAAATCTATGTCTACGTGGCCTAAATTTCAGATCCCCATAAAATATGGTCTCATGTGGTTTTTAGCACCTCAGTACCTCCATTTTGGAGTCCTGGAATTTGCATTCAACAATAAGAGAGTTGATCTGGTTGGTGGTTTCAACCATCTTGAAAAATATGAGTTCGTCAATGGGAACGATTATCCCATATATGAAATGGAAAATAACATTCATGTTCCAAACCACCAACCAGGAGAGTTGATTTTAACATATTTTAACCGTGTTCTCTTGCTAATCAAACTTGGCTTGCTGGAGATTTCTCCATCATTCAGTCCCATGATGTTCCATTCAAAAAACCTTCATCTTTAAGGGATTGAATCCACTGGCTTGATCCTGTCTGCTGTATCACCGTTTGCTTCCACATGAATATGACATGAATCTGTATATTCCCAGGTAGTTCACATGAAAACTCCATAGTTGAATATTGTCAACTCACCAGTTTTTTTTGAAGTCCATCTTTTTCCCCCGCTTTGGTGGCTCATCCGAATTTTTGAAAATGGCTGAAAATTCACCCCTCCATACTAGGTAACTAAGGTTATAACATGTTATTTCACCCTATTTCTAACTGGGGTTACCCTCTGGTAAACTAACATAGCTAGTGAAAATGGCCATTTATAGATGATTTACCTTTTCAACATGGTGATTGCCATAGTTTTTGGTATGTTTACCAGAGGGTAGCCACCAAGATCCTCCCCACCCTTGGGCTATTAAAAAAGCCAGGGAACACTGCGGCCTTCAGCAGCATCAGCAGCGCAGCCTGTTGCTGTGAGCTTTGGGTTTCCAGAACCGCGGCCTCAGCCAACCGCGGCCTGCGGTGGCCATGAAAAAACGCGGAAAAACTATAGGAAAATAGAGAGGAACATCCACTATAAATGCAGGTTTATAGCTTGAAACGGCCTACTTGGAAATGCAGTTCCAGTGATTTTTTTGTGGACATATAACTATGGTATATATACTATAGCTGCAGGCTATAGGGATGATATCCCAACTTATGAAGGTTTATAACCATGGTTATACAGCTATACCCATTTGTAACTTCAACTGCGCCCCCAAGTAAGTGGAAAATCGAACCCAACAAAGCGTGCATCCAATGGTTAAAGCTAATCTCACTAGTCTGAATTTCTAGGGGTGTACTCTAGCCAATAGTAAAAGTATGGCATGATCATTCTCGGAACAGGTGCCAAAAAAAGCAGAATTGAAGGAGCAGTGGTTGGGCTTCAAAGAACCAAAAGTCAATCCCAGAAAGAGTGTGATACTTTCCCCCAAACAATCCACCCAACAAATCTCCAAAGATTGACTCAAACAAACTTACCCTCCGGTAAACTAACATAACTATGGAAAATCACCATTTTCATAGGAAAACTCACTATAAATAGCCATTTTCAATAGCTATTTTGACATAACCAGAGGGTACCCTACATGGGGTTTTGATGGTGTTTTGCATACAAAGTCGTCCGAAAAGACGAAGCTTCCCTGGGTTGGATGAGAGGAATCGGAAAAGGAAACTCCAGTTGTCAACCCCTTTTTTTTCCCTACGAAGCCACCCCATAGCATATCATATGTCGCGGTTAGACCCATTTTGAGTGGTGAAATATCAATGTTGGTTGGCCGCAAACCAAATGTTGGGTGATGTCTGTCTCAGCATAGCCCAAGATGAGCCAAAATGACCCGCGATCCAATATCTTCCTAAGTTTCATGTCCTTAAAATATCTCCTGAAAATATCCCAGATCCCGGAAAACTGAATTCCAGATGAGCCAAATGACATTTAACATGTCATACATGTCTACGTATAATTGGCAGGCTCTAAACCATTAGAAAAATATCCCCAGGCCCCTCCCATATCCGATGTTAATTCACATGTTGAGTCGAAGAGATACAAAGATGAGCCCAACATGACCCAAGATACAATACATATTATCATTTATACATATCCCTAAGCTGCACATATGTAATTATATGTGTATATATATATATATACCGTATACCCTCCGGTAATTTAACAGTTTGCTATTGAAAATGACCATTTATTATAGTGGATTTACCCATTAAAATCGTGATTTCTCATAGTTATGTTAGTTTACCCATTCAGTTCGTGGATTTACCCATTAATAGCATGGTGATTTCCCATCGTTTTTGTATGTTTACCAGGCCGGGTATATCCTGAAGATATCCAAAGATCCATCCCAGATCCCTTCAATCCAAGGATCCATCCGCGTCTGCATCTCCAAATCCAGTCCTGCCGCATCTGACGCCCTGAGCACCTCTGCAATCACCCCCGAAGGGCCTGCAGGAGATCGAAGGGTGCCCCAGGTGCCCCGAAAGGTTCGCCATGGCGAAGGAGGCTATAGTTGTAGAAATATACCTGGCCAAGTACTGTAGTCCAAGTAGTCAGTCATGTATAGCTATATGGATATGTGATTGTGTATATATATATAATTATATATAGTAAGTATAACAGTATAACTATAGTATATTGGACAAGTATATTGGCCAAGTGGTTAGATATATGGATATATGATGATCTATTTTAGGTATCGTTGACAAGTTGAACTAGGCTTTATGGCAAATATATCTATAATATAATAGACACTAAGAATGGGGGTGAAAAGCCACAGAACAACTGGCAGGCATCACCTTGTACCAGCAAAACATTATATACATGTACATAATATATATATACATATAGGTATGGAAAACGCAATTTTTTTCATGGGTAAATGCTGGTAAATCAATATTAATCCATAGGAATTCAATAGATCACTATCTGGTTGGTTGTTTTAACCATCTCGAAAAATATGAGGTCGTCAATGGGAAGGATGACATCCCATATATGAAATGGAAAATAAAAAATGTTTGAAACCACCAACCTATATATATATATTTAAACCCTCGGAAATCCATCATTTATACACGGTCGGTTGTGGCAAGAATACTTACATCCAAGATTAACCTATCACAACAAGGTTCACCAAGAGTTGTACCCTATCCACGTATTGCTGCAAAACTATCCAATTCAATGCCAATTTACCTACCCTTGTCCCCGCAATGTCTACTCTATACTCTATTCTTGATGCCATTCTCCCCCAGTGTTTTCGGTTCAAACCCGGTTCAATCCAATGCTGTGGTATCTTGTGATCATACTATCCTTTCTTACTGGTCAAAGATCCCAATTAATCAAAACCATTCACTTTTTTTTGGTTGCCAGTTGGGACGTTTAAGCAACAACCAACTTGTGTTTTTTTGCCAAATCACTCTGTTAGGGTCCAAACCGGCGTTTTCCCAATTCAACTGGAGTTGGTTTATCAAACCACGCTATAGCCAAATGTACCCCCTGGTAAACTAACATGGCTATGGAAAATGGCCCATTTATAGTGAATGTTCCCATGAAAAATGGTGATTTTCCATAGTTATGTAACAGTTTACCAGAGGGTAAATATTGCAGAGGTATTGTTTTGCAAAAACGTGGTGTTCCCTCAAGTTAACCCAATAATATACCATCCCCAAATAGTACTAGACCCACGGTACCCTCTGGTAATCAATCATAGCAATGAAAACTCCCTAATTTATACTCTGGTTGGTGGTATGAACCTACCCCTCTTAAAAAAATGACTTCGTCAGTTGGGATGATTTTCCATTCCCAACTGTTTCTGGAAAGTCATTCAACATTCCATGGTTCCAAACCACCAACCAGATAGATATATATATATATATCTTCCCAAGTTTTTCATCTTCAGCAACCAATCCCCCTAGAAATCCCCAGTGATTCAGGATATATGTTGATATATGTTGATGCTTCCTAATAAAAACTCCTTTCATAGTTGATGCGTAACTGCCACGTTTGATGACCAGAGGCTATATCATCAGTATCGCAAACAGAATCACCGCATGAAATTCCCCATGGGATCCCAACATCATTTTTGTTGGTGAAATTCCTATTCTTGTTGGATAAACCACCATTAGAGTCACCATAAATCCCAAAAAAAACCCAAAAAAATCACCATGATCTTCCCAGGAAATCCCACTATTTTTCTTAGTTAATTCTCATGAAATCGCACCAGACATCATCTAGAAATCGCTGATGTCATGGCATTTTCCATGTTTTTCCATGGGTTTTCTCATGTCATAGAATTGGATGATGGGAAAATGTTAACCCGAAAACCCTATATTTGATGGTAAAAACCATGGTTTCCGGTTAAGATTTGCCCTTAAACCAATCCAATGATCATGGTTTTCCATTCCTCTTGTTGCTTCAACACCTTGACCCATCGTTGCGAGTCATCTCCCCATGCTACCTTCGGTCGTCAGCGAGGCCAGGCCCGCCGCCGCCGCCGCGGCGCCGGCTTGGGCCTTTATTTTGGTCATGTGGGGCTCCATAATTTGGTCATGACCATCACCATCATTTTCTGGTTGGTGGAGGGTATACCCTCTGGTAAACTAGTTGGCTTGCCATGTTTGATGAGCGGAGGGTATATCACTAATTGGTGGTTGAGCCACCCCCCTGAAGATGGTGATGTTCCATAGCTATGTTTGATTAGAGGGTATACCCTCTGGTAAACTGTTGCAGTTAGCGAACTGGAAGCCATGGCCCAGTCGAAATAGTGGATGTGCCCATGAAAATTGGTGATTTTCCATACTGGTTGGTGGTTTTTTACCATCTTTGAAACCACCAACCACTTTTCAATGGAATCCCATCAGTGTTTGAGACCATAAACTGGTTTATTATGGAATAAACATGTGACGGGAAATCATGAACATCACTATAAACTGGTTTTTGCTGAATTGTGGTACTGTGATGGGATTTTCTTGACAATACAGTAGGTTTCCCAATGGTAGTTGATATGGGGATGGGGTCATCATCTAAGCCCTATGAGACCACAGATTTTAAACTCAATTTTGACCCATACCCATATTGTTTAATCGTGATAATCTTGGGATAATAATGGGATAATGGATATTAATAGACACTGATTTTAGTATCATATTAGTCAAGGTTTTTGGGGATAAGGATATAGAAGGATATATTTAGGGTGGTATAACTACAGCTCACGGGATATAAGTGTTATTAATGATATACAATATGCAATGATTTAATGAAATTGTTGTTGAGACTACTATTCTAATAATCAATGGGGGCTTAAACATCAAGAACCTCTTACTTTTATGGGCATATCCATGGTCATAAACCCCATAGGTTGGGATATAAGATAATTATATAAGCTCTATAACTATGGACAATGGACTATGGACTATGGATATATCTATCTATCGATCTATCGATCTATCTTTCTATCTATCTGCTTATAACTGCAACTGCACCGCCAAGTGGACGAAAGCCTCATTTCCCCCATGGAAGTGGCACAATTGGGAGGCAAAAACCCCACCATTCTTCCAGTAACGTCGCGATGGTCGTTGTAGTTTCTCATATATGTGTCTGTGTGCGTGTGTAATTCTGATGCAAAAATATGCAAAAATAGCATAGCATGGCCATCTACGGTTTGTGGGGACATCCATGTGTTGCACATGTTAACATCCTCCATCACTCTGCCTGTTGCTCCACTGAAAATCCCGCGTCCGCAGAGACAGTGACGACTTTCTTCACCTGGAACTTCTGTTTCTCGAAATACGGTGAATCTTGGACTGAAGTCGGGACTTAGGGACCTAATGGGATCCAATAAAATATATACTCCCCGGTAAACTAACATAGCTATTGAAAATGGCACATTTATAGTTGATTTACCCATCAAAAATGGTGATTTTCCATAGTTGTGTAACAGTTTACCAGAGGGAAAAATCTGTTCCTGCGGGATGATATGATGTTGCTTCATTTCAGGTGATTTGTTGATCTTTTTGGGGAATGATGTCGCCACATGGAATGCTATGTGTTAGTAGCTGATTGTAGTAATTCACGATGAGAAATAGCTGAAATAGAGTCATTTGGAGGGATTTGACATATATAAACCATCATTCAGGTGACGTCAGGTTGAGGTCACGATCAAGTTCATCGAAATATCTTCCACTGAACCATCATATTACCCCCATTTGTAGGAGCCTTTTGGAGCCAGATTTTGGGACCTTGCTGGCTTGGAATCCTGCAATTAAAACTGCCTTCTGGGATCCTTGGGAAACAGCCCTTTTGGGCCAAATCCTGGCCAGATATGCATTTTGCTGGTGAATTCTCCGAGATCTTCCATTGATCTCCCGGATCCGGGAGATCCGTAGATCTCCCGGATCCGGATCCCTCGGATCCCTCGCCTTGATGGCCACATCCGTGCCGTCGCGCGCCAAGCTGGCGCTATTCCACATGGCCATGATGGCACCGTAGTACTTGCAATCCACCTAAGGTTGGGCTCGGCTCGGATCCCGGATGACCCGGTGCTGGCTGGTTTTAATGGGAAGGGGGGCTGAAAAAGGGAGGCTTCATGGTGTTTTAAGCTGGTTTTATTCATGTTTAATGAGCTTTTAAATGAGGCCTCATGTTTTTTTAAGGGTTTGATGGTGTTTCAAAAAGGGTGTGATGAGACTTTAATGGGGTTTAATGAGGTTTAGAGGGGCTTGATTGGGATTCATGGGGTTTAATGGCAATGTAATCAATAATTCTCATCTGGTTGGTGGTTTTAACCATCTTGAAAAATATGAGTTCGTCAATGGGAAGGATGACATCCCATATATGAAATGGACAAATAATCCAAATGTTCCAAACCACCAACCAGATATTTATACATATCCCCAAGTTGCACATATGTACAGAATTATATATATATATATACGTATAATGTATATATGTCCTGAAGACATCCCAGTAATTATGTTTAAATCGTACTTCCTTGGGACCCATTTTCTCTCTCTCTCTCTCTCTCTCTCTCTTTCCCCATGAAGCATAACTGGTATGGTTTAATGGTAGATACAACGAACTAGTATTCATGGGGTTTGGAAACCAACAAACATAACTCTGGGTAAATTATAATGTTTCACTAACCTGAATCTTGCGGCCATAAAAGGGGATGAGTTCCCTAACATAAACCATGATTCCAGGGCTTGGGAGAACAGGCTTCGGTCGTGATCAAATTTACCCAGCTTAATGTAAAGATATTTCTAAAGGCTCCATTTAAAAATGGTGATTCCCATTGGAAAACCATAGGAAAACCATAGGAAAATGGTGATTTAATGGTGATTAATCTATAATTACCCAGTTTTTTTCTGTATGAACTCAGCGGTTTTCACATGTCTTCACCTTGCTGCCAGGCCGCAGCCTTCAGAGAGCTCTTGAGCCTCTGCAGAATCGGAGTTGACACTCCGGTCCCCTTGGCCTGGGCCATTTGGCTATTTACGGCCACCGGGGATGGCCCAAAAACTGGGCAAAACCCTGGGGAAAATGGGAAAAACACATGTTTTCAAAAAAAGCCCATAGGAATATGGAACATGATAGGGAAAATCAAAGGTTTATAGCCCCAAAACCATCAAAATCATAGGAATATGGAAAATGATAGGGAAAATCAAAGGTTTATAGCCCCAAAACCATGAAAATCATGGGGGAACCATGGGAAAATCAGAGGTTTATAGGCCAAACACAGGGGAAGTCATAGATAGAAACGTTGGAAACCTGTGAAGTATGGGGAAAACGTGCTTGAACTACCATCCTGGTGGCGCACTGAAGCCGGCATCTGGGGACACGCTGCAAAGGTTCAAGTGACCATATATTCTGGTTGGTGGTTTCAACCTGAAAAATATGAGTTTGTCAGTTGGGATGATGAAATTCCCAACTGAATGGAAAAATAAATTCATGTTCCAAACCACCAATCAGCATTTAACGACACATTTTGCCAAATGATTTACATACGAATGTTCCAGACTAAAACTCTGCTTCTTGCAGGGTTTCGGAATGATGAAAACAAAGCTAGGAAGTGCATCAACCTTCCAGGGGTTTTGCGGACATCTATTGGGACAGGGGATGCCCAAACGGATCCTAGGTGTCATGTCGTGTTTGAGTGGTGTGGAATGCACTCCTATCATGATTCTTGACAGTTTTGCAGATGTGCATATTTGCACATCATCTGAAGATATCTGAAGTGTTCTCGTTGTTGCTGTTCCATCACCTCTTGTTTCCAAAAAAACATGAGTCCAGGCGGGTTCAGTCGCAACGTGAGATTTGCCCAGATATTTGGTAGAAAGGGATCAGCCTGGTATCATGGTGAATCTTAGATGCCTATCAAAAAATCAAATCTTGCGCTGGTTAGTAATTTCATCACTGATAGCAAAAAATTAAAGTTACTATATAATTCCATCACCCTAATATTATGTGGAAATTCCCTACTAAACCATGGTTTCTAAGGGGTGTTTAATGTTAGGGGGAAGGGATTAGTTCGCATCTAACCCAGGTTGACGCAGGTATCCTCATCCACTAGTCTTCGGGCTCTACAGGGCTTTGTCCAAGTCACTACTTCCGCGATAGCCTGTGAGGGGGGGAAAATGAGGCAGTCATTCAACATCTACTACCATCCATTATCCCATTACTATCCCAAATAATGGTAGTCTATATGGTTTGATAGGGATAATAGTGGGATAATCATAGGATATGAATGGATACTGATCTCAGTTTTATATTGATCAATGTGTTGGGGTAAGGATATATAGGGAATTGTTAAGGGGAAATGGGATAAAATGGGAGAATGATGATATACCCTCCGCTAATCAAACTTGGCAAGCTGGGAAATGCCCGAGAAATTAGGTGTGAGCTTGGCACATGAGCCTGCAAGGCACGTTCGTACAGACAGGGGAAAAATGAGGTTTGAATGGGAAAAACATCAAACTAAATGGTGAATTTCCCATTGCCATGGTTGATTACAGTAATAGAGGGTTCCTACAAATGTCGCTTTTGGCTGCAGAGGTACAATACATACCTGAACTACGGAGTGAGCTATTCAACTGTTTGGTTTACCCAGAATTATGGATATCACGTCTTGATAGATGACACCTTTCGCAAACATGCAATCATGTATGGTGAGGTCGTGTTGAGGTCGAGGATAATATATATTTTCAGATCACACAGCACTGGGGAACATACTGGATCCATCCCGTTCAATTCGGTGTTAAGATGTGTTAAGTGAAGGTTCCACCCAAAACAAGCAGGTCTACCAAGCAACAAATTCATGGGTCTACCAAGCAACAAATTCATGGGATGTTGACCAGCGAGAACGTCCAAAACAAAAAATGGCAACAATTGCTGGCATCCGAAAATGTAAAACATTTTTCCAAAAATAACCATACGTGGGAGAAAAAATCGCATGTTTTTCAAATTTGTCCATTTCGTGTCCGACTTGCTTTCCATGGTTGTTCCCAGTTTTACCATCGCCTTTTCCTATGGTTGTTCCCCGTTTTTTCATCGCTTTTCCCATGTGTTTTCCAGTGTTTTTCCATGGTTTTCCAATATTTCCTATATTTTTCCTATATTTTCCCCGAGTTTTCCGAGTCTTTCCGAATTTCCCATGTTTTTCCCATGTTTTTTCCATGAACTCCCCACGGCCCCAGCGCTTTTCCCACGTTTCCCCCCCGCCCGCCTCGGGCGACAGCGACCCCTCGGGCCGATCCGCGGCCGCCGCGCCGGCGGCGGCGGCGGAGGCCAGTTCTTCCGGCACCGGGAGCTGCGAATGCCTAAAGGCCGTCGCGGTGTGCACCTTGGGTGGTAGATATAACTCCAATTTCACTCGGGTTTATGGCAGATATATATCTATAGTATTCTAGAGTATTCATGGGGTTTATAAACCATTATAAACCAACAAACATACCCTCTGGTAAACTAAGAGTTTGCTATGGAAAATCTAATTTCACTACAATGTGGTGCCCCCCAAATGTTATAAATTGGTTTATAAACCCCATTAACTAATATTAACTATAGATATATCACCTATAAACCATAGTTACTGGAGTTATAAACCAACTGAACGCTATCTTGGGGGCCTCACATTGTAGGGTTTATGCAAGGTGGTGCCCCCGTTCGATAGCATTCAGTTGGTGAACATAACTCCAATAACTACAGGATGGGGCCCCCGTTGGATAGCGTAAAAAGTTGGTTTATAAATGGCTGAATTAACTATGGTTTATGGTAGATATAACGAACTAGATAACTATGGTATTCATGGGGTTTATAAACCAACTTATAACTAGGGGGGCCCCATCCTGTAGGGTTTATGGTAGTTATAAGTTATAACCATAGTTAGATGGGCTTATAAACCAACTTATAACGTTTGGGGGCCCCACAATTGCATGATTATTTAAGCAAGGTGGAGCCTGAGGGAGCTAAATCGCGACTGGGGGGGCACCACCGACTGCAGGATGGGTTAAACATGGTTAAACACTATCACATCCCATAAAATCACCATAAAATCTATATGAATCCAATCAAGAGTCCTGGGCGATTCCTGGGCTATTAATGGGATATATATATATATATGTGATATCTATATATATATATGATATCTATATAATATATATATATATATGATATCTACATAATATGTATATATATATATAGATATTAATTTTACAGTGATTTTATTGGGATTTGATAGTGTTTTAATGGAATTAGAATGGGAGAATGGACCATTAATGGCAATATAGTGGATTTGATTGGATCGTAATGGGATTAGAATGGACTATTGATGTGAAAATCCACTGTAAATGGAGGTTGAAATGAGAAAATCCACTAGAAATCACGAAGTTAGTGAGTTTACCGGCCAAAAATTGTTATTCTAATGATGCTTCAATGGGATTTCAATGGTATGTTAAATAACTAAGTGCTCACAGTTTGGCATTTTGGTGAAAACGTAGAAATGGTAAATCATGGTAATTCAAACTGTTGGATTGCCGAATTGTTGACCCGCAAAAGGTTTCAGATTCTGTGCCAGTGGACTGGTTACAAAATCCGATAAACCAAACAGACGGTTACGAAAGCCAAAGAAAATAATGGGATGTTTACCATGCGCCTGTCGGCACCAGCCACTAAGCAGCAGTTTTTGATGTTTCCATAGCTATCACTATATATTGAATAGTAAAACAAGGTAAAATAATGACAAATACTGAACGTAAATATACATATGGCAGCATGTTGGTGATACTAAATGTTTCTGTAATTGACATTGCCAAATATATAGTGTGTCAAAACACCATGTTTCTGCAATTTGACCGCCAATGATCGCCATTCATCCTGCAGTTGTTTTTATATGTTGTTGTTTTTCCTTTATCTACAGTAGTTACCCAAGAAATACCCTGCACATCCCTGCACTCGTTTTCCCCATTCCTGTTTCGGTTGATGTGCCCTAGTTCTTCGTTCATATCTTCATATTGGGATAACAAAAATCCCAGGTGAACAAAAATTCAAAGCCTTACCAAGTTTCAGGTTCCATGTTCACCCCCAAACCGCTTGGATGTTGATGTAAATCTGTACTTTCTATTTACATCTATCTGGGTAAATTATAATAATTCACTAACCTGAATCTTGCGGCCATTTGGGGATGATTTCCCTTACTAACTATGATTTCCAGTGAGGGAGAACAGTGAGGTCGTCATAATTTACCCAGATCTATCTACCATCCGGCAATCAAAGGTCGCTGGAAAATCTCATTATATCCCAGTAGAATCCCACCACATCCCATGACATCCCATGACATTAAAACCCCAAAAATCCCCATGGAAAATCCCCATGACATCCCATGGTTTTAATGTCAACCCTGGATCAAAATCAACCCCGTTTGCGGCAGTTTAATTGGCAAGGTACCATTTAAGTATCAAATCACTACTGGAGGAGTACCCCCTAATTACCCTCTGGTAAACTAACATAGCTATTGAAAATAGCCCATTGATAGTTGATTTACCTATTTTAAATGGTGATTTTCCATAGTTTTTTGTATGTTTACCAGAGGGTAATAAACCATGGTTTATCAATCCGGGGTTGACATTAACGGTTTCCCCGTCGATCTGCCGGAGCAGCTCGGAGGCTTTCATCACCGCCTCTGCCACCCTCTGTGCCGCGGCTGGCGCTGCCGTGCTCGTGGCCGGCGGTGGGGGCACCTGCGGTGGGGGCTTCGAAAAAAACCAGGGGAAAATCCTGGTTTTAATGGAGTTTCACGGGAAAACCAAAGAAAAAATCACGAAAGAGTATGGATTTCATGGGATCTGAATGTCTTTGTTGATGGAATAAAAGCGTTATGTTTTTTTTTGGGGTTTTGTTTTTCTTTGTTTTTGGTGTGCTATTAGTTTTCCTTAATTTTCCAATAGTTTTCCCTGATTTTCCATTAGTTTTCCTTAATTTTCCAACCCAATCATAAACACCCTTTTGGGTGATGTCGAAAAAAACACCCACGTTTGGTAACATTGGAGATGGTTTATTATTGGGAATTACGACAATTTTCAGGGATAACGAATCATTACAGAATATGAGGATTATGTGGAAGAATGGCGAACTAGATGGAATCTCTAAATTACCTGGTATAAATGTTGATTTTAAGTTGGGGATTTTCATTTTAAGTGTGATTCTTTGGGGATGTAACTACAAAAGAATGCCATTTAGATGCGGATTTAACCATTCAACATCGAGATTAAATGGGAACGCATGGGATTTTATGATGATTCACAGGGAATTAACCAGCAAAAAATGTGATATGCGTATGGGTTAACCAGCCCAATGATTCGTTCACAAGGATAAATAAGTAATGGTTATTTTTCTTAATTAACCGGGCTATATACGAAATATTGAAAGGGCTATATATACCTAAATGGAACACTGATGGAACTATTTGAAGGGATGATGTAAGAACTGGGTTAGTCATGATACCCATACACGTTAGCATCATCAGAAGCAGGTCCTGGTTGGTGGTTGACCTACCCCGCTGAAAAATACGAGTTCGTCGGTTAGGATGATTATTCCCAACATATGGAAAGTCTAAGTATAAGCCCCATTAGTATCCCATTAGTGACTGGTTGGTGGTTTCAACCCCTCTGAAAAATATGAAAGTCAGTTGGGATTATTATTCCCAACATATGGAAAGTCATAAAACTCATGTTCCAAACCACCAACCAGGGTCAGTAGGCTCTATACTTACGTTACTTTATCTAAGTGGCTTGGTACATTCGTCAGTGGTTCATCTCAGTAGATAGATACGTGGCTCACCCGAGAAAGGATAGAAAAGTAACCCAAAAAGATAGGAACAAAACTTGCAACTATTTACACTATTGCAGTGAGGTTTGTTTTCGTCCTATTTTTTGTGGACTTTTTCCCCCGAAATACAGCTCAGCAACTCTAACAATGTAAGACTAGGTCATAATCCCCTTAACATTCCATTCACAATCCATTAATATCACATTAGTATCCCACTATAGGCCCTATCAATTAGTGGCAACATTCATTATCATGAATATCCCATTAGTATCCATTAAACTTCCATTATAAGCCCCAACCATCAAAGTCTAAGTATAAGCCCCATTAGTATCCCATTAGTGACTGGTTGGTGGTTTCAACCCCTCTGAAAAATATGAAAGTCAGTTGGGATTATTATTCCCAACATATGGAAAGTCATAAAACTCATGTTCCAAACCACCAACCAGGTGATTGGAAATCTCATTAACATTCCATGATTTTCCCTATTCGTGTTGGTAAAGATACCCTCACTCCATCGACACCCCATTAGAATGGTAATGTTCCATAAACCTTGGGTTGGAGAGTTTAATGGAATTTGAGATGTTTAAAGGGGGATGTTTTGAGATTTCCGTATTGCCCTCTGGTAAACTAACAGTTTGCTATGGAAAATCACCATGCTTTTAATGGGTAAATCCACTATTTCGACTGGGCCATTTTCAATAGCTTTTTGTATGTTTACCAGAGGGTAATTCTGGATGAATCACCATTGTCCTATGGTTTTCCTATGGATTTCCATATTAGTTTTTCCCTCTTAGCTTTTCCATGTTTTGCCCCCACTAAATCCATAGGACAACTCTCCAACTTACCGTTCTTTACCCATCACTCCATCGACGTCGACACGGCACCGTACTGGTGAAGGCCAAATGCACCGGGGCCGGCCTGGCGAGCCAACAATCATGGAGAGATGTTGGAAAGTCTGACAATTCGATGTTCAAAGAAATTCAAAGAACATAAGATTGAACATGACAAAAGAAATAGTTATATCTTAGGAAATTATCTGATAGTACAAAGAAATTATTTGTGTTTGGAAAGTCTGACAATCAATTCTATAACTATTATATAGTCACTTAATATAGTTATATTCACATGAGAAAAATAGAGCGTTAGGATTAATTAGTCACTTAAGATGTGAATGTTGATAGGAACATCACAGATACAATGGGGATAGAATAGCTACATGAGCAACAAAAATTACACGGACTAGTTGGAGGTTCATGATGTCAGGTAACAGCCAAACCATCAGGATTGATGGTTTGGAGAAAAAAAACAAGTAGCAAATGATCAAGAACCTAGGGTAATAACTGCAGTACCCTCTGGTTATTTGTTACAGTTCGCCATGGTTAAGCCATGGCCCTAATCGAAATAGATAAATAGATGGTTTACGTTCTTATTAGCATGGCGATTTTCCATGGCGAACTGTTAGTCATAACCAGGGTGTAGTATTCCAACAGGCTTACTTCGTATGCTTGTTACTTACGATTCATGGGATGCACTTTCAATTTCTTTGGGGAAAACCACGAGGAATTTGGATGTTTATCTACCCACCAACAAGTGATGTTAAGGATGAACATTTCAAACAATGCTGTTTTTTTCATAATGGATGTGAGCCACTGAAAATTGTGTGAGGTTGTATGAACAGAAACTTGGATTTCGATTCGAATAAAATGGAACCCACAGCCCAGCCAACAAACAAGTGATGTCGTGGCTTAAATGGGGATTTCAGCAACAGAAAAGCGGATTCGAGAACCAAAGGCGGATAGATGAGAACCAATGCAACTGATTGGATTAATCACAGACCCACTATCATCATAAACATGGTTTGATTAAGCGCGTTTATAGCAAGATAAGCAGGATTTCAACCAATAAAATGAGTCCCAAAAAGCAATGATACGCTTAAGAATCTAGGTGGAAGCAACTATTAAAAAAAAAAAAAACATAATATGAGAACCAGCAGGGAAACAAAAAACAGACATGTAGGCCATCAGAAAGGTGACAAGTGATGGCACCAACAGAAGTGAAAACATCAGTCACAAACAGTTGATACAATTCTATACCCCTAATCATAAAATTGAACACTCCTGATATAAATGGTCCCAAATATATATGTGTAAATCCCCTGCCAAACCATAGAATTTTTCTGGGGTTGCCCTCAATGGATTGGTTTAAGTTTTTTTTTAAGGGGGAACCATGTTTTTACCCACTAAAATGCAGGGGGTTCCTGAAAATGCTCCCATCACCCAAGTCAACACGAAAAGCGAGTGACGAAAAAATCCTTGTCGAAAGTCCTAGGCTTTTGACTAAAACCATCTTCCAAGATCCATGACGAGGAAAATAATCCTATCCCCTCAATATGGAACGCCTTAAACACCAAGTAACGGCCTCCAAAATGAAGAGATCCCATATAATCTGAGACTATGGTTTCTTCTGTTTCCTGGGGAGGGTACCCTCCTCTGGTAATCAAAGATGCTGTGCGGGAAAATTCCCGAAAATTCATACAGTAGATGAATTTCCCAGACAACAATTCCATTCTTGCTTGATTACCAAACAGGAATATGTGGGTGTGTCTGAAAATGTGGTAGACCCCCATTTTCATAGGGGAAAATGATGATGAATCCGCAGTAATTTACCTCTGGTAATGACTAACAGTTTGCTATTGAACATACCCCAGTCGAAATAGTTGATTTATATACCTATTCAAAATGGTGATGTTCTATAGTTTTTTGTATGTTTATCAGATGGTAGTAGCCTATTTCCAGAGAAACTCATTTGAGGATGTCGCTTCTCCCCCTCTGGGCGTCCCAAACGTTGTGAGGTCTACAGCCTCGACCTAGTCATGCGATGATCCCCTACTTTGGGCAGGCCGGAGGTAATTGTCATGGGGTATAACATGGTATAACCATGGCTACCCTCTGGTAATTTAACATATATAACTATGGAAAATCACCATTTTTAATGGGAAAATCCACTATAAATGGCCATTTTCAATAGCTACGTTAAATTACCAGAGGGTATAAACCCCCATCAGTTGGGATATAAACCCCGCTCTAAACGTTTGTTTTTTTAGTATCCACTTATACCTGAACCACACTTCCAAATGAAAATATCCCTCTTCGTGTTTTTTACATGTGATAAATCATGTTGTATAAATCAATATCGAACCCCCAGACAACAGGGTTCGAAAATCATGGCAAGCTGGAAAAAAACCGAACTAAATGGAGATTTTATGAGTTTTTAATGGTAAAATGATCAATATAAATGAAAGGGGGGTTCCATTGCCACGTTTGATTATCAGAGGGTACTAAACCAAGTTGGTCAACAGGGGGCGCTACATGGCACCCACCCTGCAAAATGTCACAGCAATCATGCAGCGATAATGTGTAGGCCGGGTAACGCAACAAAATTCATTAGATCATCAGCAACAGGGTTCAGGATTGAACCCACCAAACGTGGCGTTTTGTTTTACGTGCCATTCAAAAATCTTGACTTTTAGTTGGCCACTCGATGCTGGCCTATAAAAAATGCACCCAACAAAATGAGCCTTCAAATGCTTTCAACACGTGTCAGCCTATCCAATCGACCCCAATCCACTTTTTAAATGCACTTGATATGGATGCGTTCCTACGAATGGACCCAACTCCGTGGTTCCTTGGATCTGTTTTTTTTGCATCCAACCCCATTTGGACGCATACACTTGAGAAACGTTCAAAAACTTCAAAGCTTCTGTCATCCCTTTATCGCCTGTTGCTTAAGAATAAAACCATGGCCAATCAGCCAGATACCCTGCCAAAAAAAAAATCTTAGCTGGTGAACGTAGATAATCCCGTTGATACACAAATTCTAAGGAATGAGTTTCTACCCAACCAGCCGATTGACCTTAGAAACGGTCCCCGCTGGCCCTCGGGGCACCTTGGCCGGGTGGGTCTCCGTGGCCCAGCGCGCTTCGGATCCCGAACTTCGCGAGGCCGCCTGTCGAAACGGCGGCAGGTGAAGCTGGACATCCAGCAACTTGGTGATGTCTGGTTGAGAGTTGGCCAATAAATGTTAATAATAATGGAATTACCATGGTTAATACTAATAATTACTGTTAATGGTTAATAATAGCGATTCTTACTACTAATACGAATTATCCATTTAGAGTGAATTAATGGTGTTTTCCATGGTTTTATAAGAGTTAACAATGGTTGATAATGGTGATTAATGATAGTTAATGGATATTAATGGTGATTAATCATTGCCAATCTTAGATACACAAAAAATGACAAATCCTCAGCTGGTGAACGTAGATAATCCCATACCAAAAGACTAAAGGACTAGTTTGTACCCATCCAGTTCGCTAACCTAGTTGTTAACATGGAACTCTAATTCAATGGTGTTTGGAACATGACCTTTGGACACAGGATATAGTACCAGTTTAAAGTTCCATGTTTCTTTTTCTCGGGGTGTAGGTCAATGGGTCATCGACATGAAAGAATCAAAACAACATCTTTTTAGCCGACGATTCACCAACAAGATGTGGGCTAATCCTGCGTAATCTTAGCTACTGAAGCCCCTGAAAAAAAGGGAAGTGAGCCCCACGGAAGGTTAGGACACATGGGAATGACATATGCAGGAATAGAGCCAGCATATAACTGGCGATTTGCAGAACCAACTTGACTAACAGCAAAACTGTTGACAACCAATCGAAATCAGCCTAGAACCAAACTGGGAATCATGATGAATCATGACAAAACACCAAGCTGGGTGGAGAACCGGCTGCTTTTGGATGGTTTTCGGAACGGGGATAGCTGGGCTGTGACATCAGCTAAGGTTTTTCAGTTCATCATGCAGCGTCAACGGTGGAACTCCACCATGATCCATGTACAGCACCGGTGAGTTGTCGCATGTGCTGTGTACAAATCAAACCCATCTGAACAGTGTTCAAGACCCTCTGTCATTCCATTGGTATCCCGGTATCCCCATTGTGGGCTTTCACAATCCCAACGGTAGTAAACCATTAGTGTATAACCCCCTATATTAAGTAGAATCGACCATCATTTATCAACTACATCCCCTTGTTTGATTGTTAAAGCCCCTTTGCAGTAAATGATGGTTACAACCCCAAGTATTGTTCTCACATTGTCATTTCAATACCAAAGGTGTCCTTTCTTGTGGTTAAAACTACCATGCTTCGTGGTTGAATGCCAACATCTGGATAAATCGTAATAATTCAGAAAGCGGAATTTAGGCCAGTTTTGGATATCTACCCAAATCATCCCAAATCCTAACCATCATTCCAATGACATCCACATTACTGTACATTCCATTACATCCAATATCCCATTATATTCCCCATTACATATCATTAAATCATATCTCAACATGTTGCTGGTTAGATCCCCATATTCCCAGATGAACCCTTGATATCCCAACAATATCCCAAATATACGGTGTATACATATATATATATATATACACGCGTATAGTCGTGTTTTTCCATAATATCCGGTGTATCACTCCCAGGTGTCCATTAGAAGGAAATTAACATTCTGATTTCATATAAATACCGATCAACGTCCTCCTATGCCAGTAGCCAGAAAGGAATGCGGAGGCCAAACATTTTGGAAAAACGCCAGCCGAGCTGTCCACATCTCCAGCAGATCAGCCATTCCAGGCTCCAAGATTCTGACATAACTCATTTCTTACTGGTGCGTGCTAAACGTAGGGAATGGATGCGTTGCTGGGGGTTGCTGGAATGATTATTGATTGTTATTGATTGTTATTGTGGATCATTCCCTCATTCCCTACTAAGCACCAGTAAGATTTTCGGCATCAGCGGCTGATTCTCTCCTTCCTTGCCATCAACAGCGCGAATCTCCGCCCTTCACCAGCTCTTTGAATCCGGACATCTTGAAACCAGAAAACTGCGGACTGCGGGCTGCCGATATGGGAATTATTTTGTCGAGTTTTATTTTATGTAAACTATGTTGATTGACTATTGGGATCTGCTTGAAAAATTGCCTATGAATACTACTAGTCTACTAGTTATCTACTAGTTAGTTTTTCTGATTATTCTGATGCATAGTTGTAGAATCATAGTTTTTCTATTTTTCAATGCTACCAGTTTTACTACCAGTTTTTCGGGTTAGTGAAATCGTTGGGGTATGTGTTAAAACCCCAACTCCCCTTCTGTTCACCTCAACATTGGCTGGGATTAGTTGGGATGTTCTGAATCTCCCCTGCAGAATTTTATGCAAAATCATCTGGTTGGTGGTTGACCTACCCCTCTGAAAAATCTTACTCAGTTGGGATGATGACATTCCCAACTGGATGGAAAGTCATAAAATTCATGTTCCAAACCACCAACCAGTTTTCACTGTTACCTTGGGTTTGTTTGCTTTACGAACCGCAGAAAATAGAAAAACAATCTCTCCCAAAAAACATGTCTATAGTGAATTTTCCGCTGGGAAGTTCACAAAAAAACATCATAGATTCAGCAAATCCAAGATAGCTCATATGTTCCCAGCTATAAACCTCCCATTTATGGTGGATTTTCCATGGTTCTCCTATATTTTTCCAAGATTTGTCCTGCTCGAATTCCCCGCATCTGTCGGAACCTGCCTGTCCAGTGAGGTCCAAAAGCACGAAGGGTCCCACCATCAACCCCGCTGATCCACCATTGGGCAACGTCACGCTGTGCTTCACGCTGAGGTTACGCCAGGTCGATCCTGCCGATTTATCGCAGAAAAATCTGGGAAGATCATTGGATTCTTATTTGATCTATATGGGGTTCTTCACCGGCTTATATGAATTTCCATGTGGTATGGTTATAAATGTGTTATAACATAGAGATTAGCAGGTGTTTCCTACAAAGTGAGGCCCCAACCGTTTACAAAAGCATACAAAAGCGAAGTTGACGCACACAACTTGGTTAACTCGGGTTTAGGGGAACTTTAACGAATTAGTTTATGGGGTGAAACTAAACCAACTCATAACTGACTCGGCCACCTTGTGTGGGATTCATGTGGGGTTGTTATGGAGTTGTTTTCTGATTATGGAGAATTGTACGGTTGTTTTGGGGTGTGGGGGTGCCTTTTGATGCTATGGGATTATTTTGGGATCATATGCTATTTATGGAATTATGTTGATGTTATTATGGGGGTTGTGGTTGGATGATTACTAGCCCGCAAGTGGCTAGTAATTGTCATAAAAGCTCCATAGATTCCTGCACAAGGTATACCCCCCATCATTCCTGCACCATTTACCTCAAAATCATAAGATTGTATGAGACTATTGCGGGTTTTTCATTTTGGGTATTTTTTGGGGGGTAGCAAGGAGGAGAACTGAATCCACTGGTGTGTACTCATCTTGATCTTGGGCTTGGTGTTTCTACACTTATCCTCCTAGTATGGTTAATGGTAAGTAAAACCCATCAATAATGCTTAAGGGGATTAACCATCATATTAACCATCATATTAACCATCATATTAACCTATATATCAACCATGGTGACTAATATTAATACTGGTTATTATGTGGCTTAGTAATCTCATCTCCCCGAACCCAGATGATTAGATCCAATACTCAGGTCGGCAAGGCCTATGGCTCATGATAACACCAGCAATCTGCGACAGATTCTGAGATGTTAAAGCTACTCTCTGGTAATCAAACATGGTTTGCCAGAAAATCATAGAAAATCCTCATTTCGTTCCAGGATTTTCCTATTGAAACTTCCATTCATAGTGGATTTTCCTATGTATTCCCAGGATTTTCCCATAGTTTCTCCGATTTTCAGACACCTCCATATCTTTGATGGGGATTTCCCGGTCCGCCATTGCCTGGCACCCTCCCGTAATCAAACATGGCTGGGAAATAGCCCTACAAATGAAGCTTTTAATCGGAAAATAATCCATAAACATCCATAGATGGGAGTTCTCTATTGCCATGTTTGATTGCCGGGAGGTACATCACGGTACATCCTTGAAATTCTTCAAAAACAAAGTTGTTTGTTGCATAAGACTGTGTCCAAGTTCAGGGCGCCTCAAAGTTAAACACTGTTCAATGGGAATCTCAGGATCCTGAAATGGAGGTACTGTACTATATAAGGGCATATTTTCTAGGGATATTCCCTGAAATTTAGGCCTTATATAGGCCTTATATATGGTAGGTACCTCCAATGAATCGGATCCTGGAATTCCCATTGAACTGTTTGGATCAGAGATGATCAGAGTATAATCTGATTGGTGGTTTCAGCACATCGATAACAGTCCTTGGGTCTCATCCTCCCATTTTATGGTTAAACATGTAGGCAAACTTGAAACCACCAATGAAACCATAATGGAATATGACAATCAACGTTCAAATGATAATCTCCACTATATTGGGTAATATAACTGAACCTCTTATAACCTATCCTATAACTAATAACTAACATCTAATAACTAACTATAAAAGGGTAGTTGTTATATAAGATAACCTAGGTTCGTTATATAAACTCCTACTGTGGTTAAAAACAATAATAAACCATTCTAAATTCAGCATAAATGGGTGGTATAAACCATCAAGATAACCTACCCTATAACTAACATCAACCACCATTGATCAACGAGGACCCAGAAAAAACATCCGTCAGCCCACACAGGGCACCATCTGCTGAGCCGGCCATGGAGAAATCCACCGGGATCTCAGCGACGTTCACGGCGGCTCCACCACCATGAAACATGTTTTCGTGGGCCCATATGTGCATATAAAGAAATATGTAACATATGATATATATATATATATATTTATTTATTTATTTATTTATTGATTTATTTATATGTATGTTATCATATGTATATGTTATATGTTATATTTTTTTATGTTCATTATATATGCGACTTAATATATGTTATACTTGTTGTTAATATACGGTAGACATGATGTGCAACGACAACGATCCCTTTGGTTCCTAATAGGCTATGGCTATGGCTATGGCTGTGTTTTGTTGGAAACTTTCCACAAGAATACCCGGCCTGGTAAACATACCAAAAACGATGGAAAGATCCACCATGCTATTAATGGGAAAATCCACTATTTCGACTGGTCATTTTCAATAGCAAACTGTTAAATTGCCAGAGGGTAATGCCTGAAAGCCTGAAACAGTCTGAAACAGTCTGAAACCCAGAAAAAAACCTACTGAATCCTGAAAGCTAAAGTCAAACTCGCTAGGTATAGCCAATGTTTTCATTCTTCCTCAGGCAACAAGTATGTGATATTGTCTGGGTATGTTGGGGGTTGGCCCCAAACAGGGTGGAGAATGGAAAACATGCCGGAATGATGTCAACAAGCACCCAAGATGTTGCGCTCCAGTGTTGCTGGCTACTTGGGAGAACTTCCAAGACTCCCCGCAAACAGTGCCGTCTATTGTTGCGTTTGCCTATCTTGGCACAAGAAAATCCATCCTGCACAACCAAACCCACCAAGAGCTCCACCCGAATCTTCCTATTGGCAACGGAAATGCCATAGCAGGGAGGAGCCCCCTCATTCACCATAGATCCAGCTGCTGGCTGTAGGTGACTTGTAGGCTCCATTTGGATATGCATCCCATTTGGTCAGCAATTTACATACCACTTACCAATGCGGATGCACATGCTGTGTATCATTTGACTAGGTCTGCCTGAAAATGAGTTTTTTCCCAAAAAATTGCTGGTTTCATTGGAAAAATGGTGATCAATTAAAGGATTTGGAGTTGCCGTAACCTTGGAATGATGGGAATTCGCATCATGGAGAAATATTGCCGGGCATCTTTTCTGGATGGTAAAACATATCCCCAAAAAATCCCTCAATCCCATTAGTACCCCTATATTATCCTATCAACCTGATGCTTGTTCATTTCCCTAGCTTCGAATCGCTCCCTCCATGAAAACCACTGGATACCCTCTGGTACAAAAAAACCTAAAAACGGCCGGAAAATCCCCTAAAAATGGAGCTGTTAGTGGGGTTTTCCCTTGCGATGTTTGATTACCGGAGAGTAAATCACCATTATCCCAGAAAAACGTCCATCATATTCCCACGAATTCCATCATTTTTGCTAGCTAAATCCTATTGTTGCTGTTTCAGCCACCAATAGCGTCACCATAAATCCCATGATATTCCCATGGTAATCCCTATTAAATCACCATCTTAGAATGAGTTCTCCATGATTTTTTCCTTGTGGTAATCAACCATCCCCCAGTCATCACCATTTTTTTGGTGGTATGGAAATCCCATTCCCAGTCAGGGTGGTTTATGGTTTTTGTTCTACCCACATTATTGTCCTCATTAAATCCCAATTTGTCCCATTATTTTCTCATGTGTTTTCCCCATGATTTACAAACATAGACTTGGGCAATCATCCGGTGGATGTGAACGGCCATCTCACATGACGACATGAATTCAGTTCAGTTAGAACTACCATGAATTCTCCGTGATTCTCTCCAGTTGTCCCTGTTTTTCCCTCTGATGTCAATCCCGGATTAATGGGGGTACCATTTATGTATCATATTGTGACTATTTGGAGGGTACCCCCCCTAAAAAAAAAAAACATGGTTTATCAATAGCGAACTGGAAAATGGCCCAGTCGAAATAGTTGATTTACCTATTACCCGGCCTGGTAAACTAACATAACTATTGAAAATGGCCCAGTCGAAATAGTGGATTTGCCCGTTGAAAATGGTGATTTTCCATAGTTATGTAACAGTTTACCAGAGGGTATATCCACTAACATCCCTGTTTTTTGTTGATTAAACCTCTATAATCACCATTAAATCCCATGAACATCATGAACCATTAATACCAGAGGGTAAAAATGCTGATTTTCCAGTTCGCTATGTAACAAATTACCAGATCGCCATGGCACCGCTGCCGTCCCAGAAATGTTCACCACAGTGAAGCCGTACGCGCTCACCGGGCGACCTGTTTTTCCATGGGGAAAACCATGGGAAAATCCACAAATGGAGGAGTTGTCATCAAGAAAACCATGGGAAAATCTAGGAAACTCCCAGGGAAAGTGAAGGTTTTAGTAGGAAGAACCATGGGAAAGTCCAGGAAAATCCTAGGAACATCCCATGAAACATGGAGGAGTTTTAAGTGGAAAAAACCATGGGAAAATCAATGGGAAATCCCCGAAGTAATCGCCAAGTTGACGCACAGTTCACTTGGTGAATTCTATAGTTTTCTGGGTGGTCTAACTATAGAATAATCATAGACTTAGAGTTAATGGGGTGAAACTAAAGCAACAAACATAGGTGAGGGGGGCCTCTCCTGGTACAAACGTGATGAAATGACAATTAATTCGCGATTAAAACATCCTGGCTTGCAGTTGTGTGGTGAGGAACTGGAGTGAAACTAGACAAAAATTAATCCAAAAGGAGGTCCTAAGTGATTCAAAACATGAAACATGAACGAGATCTAAGCCATTGACATGAAGTGTTTTGTGGGCATTTCTAATTACTACGACCCAACCTGGCACTGGATGCTTTACCACTTTTAGAGTGTGAAAATCTGCAAATGGGGATTTCTAGGATTTCTATATGGGTTTTCATTTTTTTTGCTATCGAAAAATTAGATTATCACAGGGCAGATGCAAAGAATTTGTGCGATTCAAGTGGCAAAATCAAAAGGCTGCTACCAAGGACCCAGAAGACTTTGTGAGTACCATTGCTGGCTACCCTCTGGTAATTTAACAGTTTGCTATTGAAAATGGCTATTTATAGTGGATTTTCCCATTAAAAATGGTGATTTTCCATAGTTATGTTAGTTTACCAGAGGGTATCTCTTGCAACTTTATATGCAAAAAAAACATAAAGAGACACCGTGTTCCAATAGGAAGGTGTCCTTCCAGAAGAATTGGTTGCTGTGCATCCTGGGTAGCGCTATCGACATATGGCATATGGATTCTGATCACCTCCAAGTCATAGGGTGGGAAAAAAAAAACATGTTTGAAACAACAAGTCAGATCATCATTGATTCAATGGATTGATTTAAGGGAAAATCTACAGGAAACCACAGATTTTCCCATGAAATATGGGGTGTTCCTGTAAATTTTCCCTTAAATCAATCCATTGATTGATTGGGTACTCAGCATCTCCCTATGATATCACCAGAAGGGCGCCATGCCATGCGCGGTTGGCGCCATGCGCCATGCGCGGTTGGCGCCATGCGCCATGCGCCGGGTGTCCCAGGGACAGCCTGTCTGTGGTTTTTTGTAAACCCCATAACTGAGGATGTGCCTACATTAGGGCCAATATATATATATAAGTGGCATATAATATGGTGATATATATATATATATTATTATTATTATATGTATATATATATATTATCTACTTACAAGTGGAACTGCTGGCTCATCTTTTGCAATATGAAAATTGACATACTTCTAATACCAAAGGGTCAGGCACACTAAAATTTATGATCCCCCTCAATCCATTGCTTCATCGTCACTTTCCCTACATCAATTCCAGCCATGTTTGATTACCGGAGGGTATCCCATCTTAAAACACTCTCATCACCATACCCTCTGGTAAACTAACATAACTATGGAAAATCACCATTTTCAATGGGAAAATCCACTATAAATGGCCATTTTCAATAGCTACGTTAAATTACCAGAGGGTAAATGACCACCACTCTCAAACATCCCCAGTTTTCCTGCCCCCCAATGCCTGGGGCCAGCTTCAGAACGATGTTTTGCCCTGCATCTAGGTGACATCTAGTATCCTCAGGGAGGCTGATTCCAGGCTGGGAGGCCGCCAAAAACCTGTCTTTGAAAAAATGGATGGATTGAAATCATCACTGATGGAAACATATGGAAATGACCATAGAAATAGTGGATGTTCCCATTAAAAATTGTGATTTTCCATAGGTATGTTAGACAAATATGATCTGGTTGGTGGTGCAATTTCACCATCTTGAAAAATGATGGAGTTCGTCAATGGGAAGGATGACATCCCATATATGAAATGGAAAATAATCCATTCATGTTTGAAACCACCAATCAGAATGGATTGAACATGATTTCCTTTAATCTGCATGGATTGGGGGGCCAGTTGGGTTAAGGAAATATCCACAAGAAATCACGTTGTTTTTGCCACTAAAGGGGAGTTCTGCAAATTTTCCGGGAGCCATCATCCATTTTCCCATCATCCAATCCTGGGACTGTTGCGCCATGGTCATCCGTCCCATAGGGGGAATCTTTTACAATGTGTTTTTCTAAAGCCACGTGGAAAATTTATGAAAACCATCCCCAAATATGATCCACTTAGTCACTATGGGTATCTCCGTTGGCCATGGCGGATGGATTATGTGGACAGATGTGGACAGGGAACTTTTCGTAGCCCTTGGAAGTGATGAAAATGATGTGGGAAATCTCTGTAAAATCATTCTTTGAGAATGCTAATTGCCGAGAGAACGTGCAGGTCACAAAATTCATGGTCAATCTTTGATGGTCCACAAAAAATATGTTGCTCCTTGTGGTTAGTTATTTATTTTCCTTTGATAGCAAGAAACAAGGGGATTACGCAAACTACTAATCCAAGATTGGGGATGATATATAGCCCATGTTTATCAAATTTTTATATCAAGGAATCTCATGGGATCGAAAAATTCTCCAACCGAACTCAAGCGGTGAGTTAACCAAGCGGTTAGGCTTCAAGCCTCATCCTTCTCCGTGGCCAAAGCTGAAGCTCCCAATCCCAGCAGGTGACTCTGCAGGTGATTCGATGTGACTCGTTTTTCCAGTGGAAAAACCTGGTGTATCTCGATCATCTCGGCGACCCGCCAAATTCCGGATGGCTCGGCTCCCAATGGGAACTGGACGGACTCCGGCTCCCTGGATACTCATTTTTGACACGTGAAAACGATCCAAAGTATCTTAGGAAGTAATTATTGGCCAAGTTCAGTTGATTCATGTTGATTCATGTTGATTCATGTTGATTCATGTTGATTCATTCTCCATGTCACGTCTTTTACCTAATCTCCGCCATTTCTGCACCCCATTTTTCGATGGCTAATTCAGATTGTTGTACATCTTCGGTGCTTAAAACCAATTTGCATAGTTACTTGAAATAAGATGAAATAAGCACATGCCCCTAATAAATAAGGTACCGCTACGACAAACGTTTCCTTTTCCGTTTGATTCGCAACGGATGTGGCGTGTCGACAGCGCACCATGGCGGTGAGGGGACCTGCTCCAATAAACGCAATAGCCTTCATCGTAAGTTCACATAGCTATGGAAATGGATTTATAGATGAATTACCCTCTGGTAAACTAACATAGCTATGGAAAATCACCATCTTTAATAGGTAAATCAACTATAAATGGGAATTACCATCTGGTAAACATACAAAAAGCGAACTGGAAAATCACCATCTTTAAGTTCGGTAAATCAACTATTTCTATGGTCCATTTTCAATAGCTATTTTGACATAACCAGAGGGTACCCATTCAATTGATTTAAATTGGTGATTCTCCATAGCTACGTTCGTTTACCAAAGGGTACGTGCTCTGCTTGGGGGGCTGATTTGGAGAGGATAGTTGCAGGCGGCCTTTTTGCACAGCAGGTGGCTTTGGTGATTTATCATATTTTTGGTTGAAAATTGAATATCCATTTGTTGGTGATTTATCATATATTTATCATATATATATATCATATATTTATCATATATTTATCATATATGTATCATATATTTATCATATATTTATCATACATTTATCATTGAATCACCAGTCAAACGGTGGCTTTGTTTGCACATTTGTTGAAAATCCAAAGAACGTCAAAGATCCCTATAAAGTGATGCCCCTCAATTTTTTGCTTGTTGGTTTATAACCCCTCTAACTGTAGATATACCTCAGCATTCTATCTAACTACCATAACATAAATCATTAATCCCAAGAGTTATACTAGTTATAAACCAACTTAGCTATCACAAATCATGCATAAATAAATCCAAGTTGTTTTTTCTATTAATGGGAAAATCCACTATTTCTATGGTAATTTTCAATAGCTATGTTTGACATAACCAGAGGGTATCACCATCATTAATCACCATTAATCACCATTAATCCAAGTTGTTTTTTCTTGGTCAAATCCCAATCTCCTAAGGTTTCCATCGCAACTTCGCCAGCACTGCCCTGCGCTGTTCGCGTTGCGAAAGTGTCCGACTTTCCATCCACACAGGGCGCCACATCACCAGAGTTGCTCAGCACTTCGGGACCGCCTAACCGTGCCTGGCCGAGGCACGTTTAGGCATGGCAAAGCTTCAAAAAAGAGGCACAAAATCCTGGAGAATTCCTGGCAACATATGTAGCCATATGATGTGACATGTGTGTTTTCTCGATTTTTTCCGAGGTTGGTATAGAAAAAGTATGAAAACCTCAGAATTTGATTGATGTGATGTAAATGTTTTGTTGTTTGCCAGGCGTGGATGTTGATTGTTTACACATTTTGTTGATCAAATTCCTATGTTACCCCTGAATACCCACCCTGTCGAACCCTTGGTTTAGTCTTGCATCCACGTGGGTGAATTAAAGAAATTCAACACCCTCAAAAGTTCTGCAAATTTGGCCATCATTTCTAGTGACATTGGCCAGGGATGGCCAGGGACCTCGTTGTAATTTTATCCAGATTCATGGGGAAGCAAGATATTTGAACAATCAAAAGCGAGGATATCTGGTTGGTGGTACACGTACCCCTCTGAAATATATGAGTCAATGGGAAGGATGACATCCCATATAGTATGGAAAATAAAAGCCATGTTCCAAACCACCAACCAGATATGATCGGTTTTCAACTGTTTTTTTCTTGATGATTATTGCTGAATATATTATTTTTTGGGGGATCATTACCCTCTGGTAAACTAACAGTTTGCTATCGAAAATTGCCATAGAAATAGCTGATTTACCCATTCAAAATGGTGATTTTCCAGTTTGCTATGTAACAAATTACCAGAGGGTATCAGTTCTTTTGGGTTGCACCAGTCTGAAACCCTGTTTGTTTGCACAATTTTGCACATTTCTTGAAAATCCAAAGAACGTCAAAGATCCCTACAAAGTGATGCCCCTCAATTAAGCTTGTTGGTTTATAAACCCTCTAACTATAGATATACCTCAGCATTCTATCTAACTACCATAACATAAATCATTAATCCCAAGAGTTATACTAGTTATAAACCAACTATGGTAAACATTCACATAACTATGGAAAATCACCATTATTCATGGGAAAATCCACTATTTCTATGGTCATTTTCAATAGCAAACTGTTGACATAACCAGAGGGTATCACCATCATTATATAATATAATCACCATTAATCACCATTAATCACCATTAATCACCATTAAATCACCATTGTCCTATGGTTTTCCTATGGTTTTCCTATGGTTTTCCTATGGTTTTCCGTTCCCTTTGACCAAAGAAAGATCCTCCATGACCTGCAGCAGCGTCTGTTGATCCGTAAGGTCCAAGGCTTGGGAGAGCTCGTCGTAGAGGTACCTAGGGGGACCCTGGGGATTTTTCCAACGGATTTCACCAGAAAAAAGTGGGATTTGAGTGGTCAAATCATGGGAAAACCATGGGAAAATCATGGGAAAATCGGATTTGAACAGTTGTAAGAGTGGATCATAGTGGATTTGAGCAGCAGTTTGGTGATGTTATGGAAAATTGGGATGTTACCATCCAAATTTTGGAGTTGACCATCATTTCTGGGGATCTGAAATGATTCATTTTTGTCAGAGTTTACATGAACTTCTTTGGGATCTGAAGTTACCCCAGTAAAGCAACGGAGGTATGGAAACCTATTTCATTAGATCTTAGGAAATGATCTGAAAATATCTAAAAACGGTGGACTTACATCGATGTTCATTTACTGGAAGATAGATGCGTTTGGCGTTTCTAGGAGTGGCGCTCTGATTGTTTTAGTCAGATTTGGGGGATCCCAAAATTACAAATCCTAATGAAACTGGCCGTCCAAAATCATCAAAATCCTAAGCATAATCCACTTGCAGGCTGGGCCCCTCTGAAAAATGATGGACTTCGTCAGTTGGGATGATGAAATTCCCAATATATGGAAAGTCATGAAATTCCATGGTTCCAAACCACCGACCAGATTATTATTAAGCATTACTAAGCATTGTTAAGCACTATTAGCCATGATTACCCTCTGGCAAACAAACATAATTAGCTATTAAAAATGGCCCAGTCGAAATAGTTGATTTACCCATTAACTTTCCATGGTGATTTTCCATCGTTTTTTCTATGTTTATCAGAGGATATCCATTACCCATCCAGTGGGTGAATCAACAGTCACCATGTTTCATCAACGGGCCGTAAACTGGGACGCGCTTTCCCTGGTGGTTTTACTGTCAAGTTTAGAAGGTGGAACACCCATAGGTTTAATAGGATTTAATGGTGGTTTAATGGAATTTACCTTGGGGAAAACATACAAAAAGATGTGGAAAACCCAGGGTTTTCTGAAAGGAAAATAAATGATCTACAAATGGTGGGTAAACTCCACATTTTTTCCGCTGTTCGCATCTAAAACCATCCAATATTTCTCTGGTTGAAGGTTGAGCAAGAGCATCCTCAAGAATATCAAGTAGTCAATCCAGACGGAATGAAAATACCCTCTGGTAATTTAACATAGCGAACTGGAAAATCACCATGCTATTCATGGGAAAGTCCGCAAACTGTTGACATAACCAGGTTGGGTAAATGAAAATAAATCACCTATTGAGTGACTCATGGGATTTACCCAACCTGGTTATGTCAACAGTTTGCAAACTTGAAGCCATGGCCCAGTCGAAATAGTGAGTTTTCCCATCAAAAATGGGTGGATCTTTCCAGTTCGCTACGTTAGTTTACCAGAGGGCAATGGAATTTAATTGGGATGTAACTATTCAACTTGATATAACTACCCGTCTGGACAACTAACATAGCGAACTGGAAAATCACCATCTTTAAGTTCGGTAAATCATCCAACTAAATGGCCACATGTAACATATGCAACAAATTACCAGACGTTAATTGGCACTATATCCAGCAGACCCATCCCGCGTTTGATAAGACATGGCCATAGCGCTTTCGATTGGCGGTTTCGAATCCAGAATCTTGGAAAATCTATTGGCTGTAACTTCACCAGTGCAGTTTTGACACATCGTTCTGCTCTTGAAGTCTTGAGCCGTGCTTGTTCATCTTTTCGTTCCAGTGTGTTCCAGCCATGACATTTCTGCTCATATTTCAATTTTGCAGTTTCATGCAGTTTCCATTCGGAAAAATCTTCGTCCAAAGCATGCCGCCATCTTGCTGGTGCTGCCAAGTGAGTTTCGGTTTTCAGTTGATTCGATCACCATCTTTCACTGAAAAATCGTTTCTTTTCCCGCAAACTCAGATATATACTGGTTGGTGGTTGACCTACCCCTCTGACAAATGATGGAGTTCGTCAGATTGGATCATCATCCCCAATCTGCTTGGGGAAGTCATTTTCAACATGTTCCAGTCAGCACCAACCAGATACAGTAGGGTGAATCGGATGAATCCCTATGACATCCCCATTTTCCAAGGGTTTTCCCATGGTTTTCCTATGGCTTTCCAGTTTCAAAAGGTATCCCAAAAGGTATCCCAATTATGGTCACCACCGTTGAGTTCCAACCCCAACGTCCATGCGGTCCAAGATACAGATCGTCAAGCTCCAGGGTCCCTTCGGACAAGGAGAAGCGGTAGAACTCGAAGTCCACCTCGCGCTAGCCATGGTGGTTTTTGTGGTCCCCCATAGAAATCGTGGATTTACCCATGAAAATTCCATGAAATAGTGGATTTACCCATAGAAATAGTGGATTTACCCATGAAAATTGTGATTTTCCATGATTTTCCATAGTTATGTAACGGTTAGAGGGTAAAGCAACAACAACGAAAGATCAACGAAAGGGTTATGTACAGTAAAATAATGTAAAATACCATAACAGATCTATCCAAGCTTGGGGTGGGAAATTTGAGAATGAAACCCGGTGTCTCCCATGAAACTGGATAGAGCCTGTGAATTGATTCCTTCGACCTCTTCTGGCAAAGTGAGCTTGGTGGTTGAACTACCCCCTAAACCGTGAGGAAACATCCGCCCCATTGGTGGTAGGACTGGCACTGAAGCCAACCCTCCCAGGAGTGTCAAATGAAGCCACCCTGTCGCATGTTGCCGCAAAGGACCAAGATGGATCTAGGATCTGTAAACCCAACTTCAAGCTCATCAGTTGATATATCAACTGAGACTCATATATGTTTGCCACATCGTTCAGATATTGGTTGGTGAAACTATCTTCAAAAATCCAAGGGATGCACCTGAAAACTGTTCAAGCTATCCGGCGGTTTGACGTTTCCAAATCCAAAAAAAAAATGGGTGGGTCAATTGGAGAAACAACGCAAAAGTCTCCGAAGATACTTGGTGGCTCATCCCACTTAGTTGTTTATATCCCACTTATAATTTGGGAGAAGTAGGGTTAATCCACTCAAGAAACTGGGATATAACCCACTTACGATTCGTGGGATGAGCCACCAAGTAACCGAGTTCGGAAGCATAGATCTGTTGGTGTATTTGCCTCGATCCCTACCATCAATCATGACAAGTCCAGTTGAATAGCTTCCAAATGTGCTCATTGTTCTTGCTGATCGTATATCACTAATATTATAACATGGTGTAACATTGACATGTACCTATGTCATTATTGTTAACTCAATAAGGATATGGCATTACAAATATCATATAATATACCAATATCATCCATCATCATTGACATTATATTAATACGCCCGGTATTGTTCATCCATTATCATTGACATTATATTATTCTAATCGTATATCATTGACATACACCATTTTTTAGCGTCAACCCGTCCTCAATGCCACCGAAGGACCAGAGATACTCGATGCTCCTCGACACGTGGGACACGACGTGGGACCATGGGACCATGGGACCCCCCAATGTAGAAATTCATGGCTTATGAAGTACCAACAGCCACGGAAAACAAACGCGACTCTTAAGAAAATTTCGGGGAGCTGGTTGAATCATGTTGAATTTTCATGAATTTTCATGATTTTGGTGATGACTTTCTGATGGAACATGTGACTAAGTCCCTTTTTCTTTGGCCAAGATGTTTTGCAAGTAGGTCACAACTGTTCTTCACTAACCGCTGGGTTTTTGGTGAGCTAATCTAAGAATCTACGGCTGGACGGGTTTGTATGAACCAATTTTTAGCCATCCGACCTTCACCATGGACTTATCGAAAGTGGAGAACTTATGATAACTTAACGTGGTGGATTGTTGCTCCGCTGCTAAGTTAGTTTAACTAAACCACCCCAGCAAAAAACAACAATCTATATCAATCTATATGGATCTGTAACGGCAACGCAACTCAGACTCATCCACTCATTATCAATTACCAATCATTATCTGGCCATCTGGCTTATCTTAAATCTCATATTCCCCCTTGTTCCCTTATTCTTTACCAAAGTTATTCTTTATATAAAGTGGATCACAATAAAGCCAACTTCAAGCCTCGTCAACTCGGAGAAGAGCGCCCGGCTGCAACTTGGCACTTCCTAACCTTGGCAAAGCAACTTGAAGACCCTGGAGAATATGTTTCTCAACTTGGAGTCAGAAAAATTGGGTTTTAAGTGGGATGAAACTGGTGTTTTCAACGTTTCAGCAACGCGCATGTGGGGTCAACAACCATTTTATAATGACTTGTAATGGGAATATCATGCGTGAATGGCTCAAGGGGATACGTGCTGAAAAACCACTCGTTTTGACCATCATGAAATGTGGGGAATCGTTGTGCAAATCTCATGGGGATCCTGCAAGCAGCCATGATTACTGGGCCATCTCTTGGGAACACTGATTCCTCATTGGTTTGCTTGGTCGTCTGGTTGGTGCTTTCAACCTACCCCTCTGAAAAATGGAGTTCGTCAGTTGGGGGTACTATTTCCAACTGAATGGAAAAATAATCCATTCATGTTCCAAACCACCAAACAGTCGCATATGTGGGGACAATGGAAACAATAACTCATTGTCGATCAGAACCCCAAATACTGCAGTTTTTCCAAAAGAAATATGGTGGATATCGTGTGCGGATATCACATGGGCATCATGGGGAAACCAGGCAACAGTATATAGTAGGCATAAGTACCTGAAGAATCAGATGATTTCCAGGTTCAACCATGAATAGAAGGCACAACAGGGGAAATTCATAACAGCACAATAATATGGGGGGCCAAACGCACATAGGACATATGGTAATATGGGAATACATGGGCAAACAATATTGCCAGAATAGATTTCGGGGATATCCTATCGTGATAACATTGCAGGTGAATGATGATTAGATATATGAAATAGGTATATCATGGTATATTGGTATATAATTCAATGGGATATATATATATATATCAACCCTCAATTGTTAAGATTCTTACGCAATGCTGAGGTTTTCCCCTTCAGGTCACTTCAAAAAAAACATAACACAATTCGACCATAGAAGGTGAGGCCTCCCCTCAATTGTTGGTTTATACAGCCCTTACCCTCTGGTAAACTGTTACATAGCCATGGAAAATCACCATTTTTCATGGGAAATTCCACTATTTCTATGGCCATTTTCAATAGCAAACTGTTAGTTTACCAGGCCGGGTAATTATAGCTATCCCCCAGAAACCATCTTTAAGCAAGTGAACTGAGTCAACTTAGGCAAGTAAATCCTGGTTGGTGGTTGCAACCTACCCCTCTGAAAAATGATGGGCTTCGTCAGTTGGGATGATTTTCCATTCCCAACTGTTTCTGGAAAGTCATAATCCATTCATGTTCCAGTCACCACCAACCAGAATCCCATGAAATCCCATGATATCACCCCGTTTGCCTCGTAAAATCACCAGAACTTAGCCTTTCCACCCAGCTGCTCCACGAATGACGTTCCCAGCTCTCCGTCGTTCACGGCGACGTTTCCAAGTCCCTGACGGCGGTGGTGTCCCATTTTGGACTCGCTACTTGTTGGTGAACAGTTCACTGCAATCTCACTTGGGTCAACGTGGTAGGTATATCTATATAGTACCAACTTGCAACTGGGGCACCAGAAAAATCAAAGCATCAAAAACGCAAAACAAATATCAAAAAAGAACTCATCAACCATTCACCCGATCCGCTTCTCCAGGTGTGTCAACAAATGGAGGTTTCCTAGTATGGGGGTACCCCAAGTTAACATCCATTTTAATAGGATTGTCATAATGTGGATAAAACATGGTAAAACATGGTAAAACAATAATAAACCATCCCCCAAATGATAAATAGGTGGTATGGAAATACCATTCCCAGTCATTGGTGGTAAAAATTGCATTGTTTTACCCACATTATGATTCTATGGTAATCTCCATTTTTGCTGGTTAAATCACCATTTTCCTATGGTTTTCCTATGGTTTTGATCCATTTTGGAGATCCCCCATTTTAAGAAACCACCAGGTTTCACCCCCTTCGGTTTCTGCACCTTGTTGTCCACCACCACTGACTCTGCTAGCAGCCCACAGCTGACCAAAAGACATGAAAAGAAGCGTCCCCCTTCGGCAGGGAACCTCCGGCACCGTGATTGCTGGCAATGTTTCAACAGTAAATCAACGTATATCATATTATATATATATATTTGGAAAACCCAATAACTTTTGGATGTTCCTTGAGAAACTAAATTACGATAGCTAAGTTGATGCACATAGTTTGCTTAATTGTTGGGTTTATGGGGCATACATATATATATGTAGAGTTATATCAGTTATATCATTAGGTGAAACTAAACCAACTACAGTAATCACAACGGGTGGCCCAAAACCGCACGTTAATGATGTGAGCGGAGCTGATGGAATGGAGATCTGCGATGGGCAGAGAGTCGGGAGGTCCTAGGGATGGAGAAGGTTTTGGAGTAGAACACACATTAAATCACATTACTATACATTATATAAATTCATGAAATCATTAGAACACCCATTTAATGGGTATTTATTAAATCACATTTAATGGTTTAATCATTAGAACATACATGAAACCCATTAAATAAATATGGTTTCTTATAATCATTAAATGATTGTCAAATCACCATCTGATTGGTGGTTTTAACCATCTTGAAAAATGATGGAGTTCGTCAATGGGTTTCGGATGACATCCCATATATGAAATGGAAAATAATCCATTCATGTTTGAAACCACCAACCAGCACTAAAATCCTAAAATCTACCAAGAGGAATTGCTCAATTCCATGAGGAAGTGGTGATCTTTTAGCATAGCATAGCATAGCAACTTGGGGCCCTTTAAAATCCCAACTTAGGGTTTGAAATCTCAGGGTTGTGACCATTTTTTTCACCTCAACTGCACTTCCAAGGGGGGTCTAGAGACCTTACCCTCTGGTAAACATACAAAAAACTATGGAAAATCACCATTTATAATAGGTAACTCAACTATAAATGATCATTTTCAATAGCTATGTTAAATTACCCGAGGGTAACTCTTTTTGCCAAGAAACGCCATTGGACCTGATGAAGAACTCCACTGAAGTGGAGCGGCTTGAGCCACTGACAGGAGGAATGTTGGACTTGGCTGGTAGTTGGGTGTGCATCCCAGTCGTAGGCCGTAGGTGGTTAGTGAACATGGTGGAATGACAATCAATTTTGAAACTGGATAAACCCAGGAAACTCAAAAAAAAACGGGCACCCACAACATCAAGTAACAAACGTTAAAAATGTCCTTCTTCCTTAATATCATTCTGCAAGATTTGGACATCCCTTCCTGCTGACCATACAGCCCTGCGCTGACATATTCACCTTGCAGTTTGCCCTCTTAAATCTATCTTGAAATCACACCAATCCCTCGTTTAGTAATATGGTTTGCCCCAGTTGCAATGCAAATTACATATCATGAATAAAGAAAAATTTGGGTTCGTTCCATATCATTCCCCCATCCATTACCATAATTTATGAAGCGGCTGTAGTCAGACCTCCTTCCAACGACTATCAGACAAAGATTCTGATGTTTTTTGCCACGGTTTGCCCTCCACAATGGTCCGAACATGTCACCGGTCATGATGTGGGGAAGGTTGCCGCTGTCCAACCATGTTCGTAATAGTATTTGATGTCGTCATTGCCAATCGTAGATACCCTACGAAAACATGCTTTCTTAGCTGGTGAACGTAGATAATCCCATTGATACCAAAAGACTAAAGGACTAAAGTACCCATCCAAGGTTAAGCTAAATGTTTGGCACATCTTCAAGATGCCCGCAAGCGTTGTTCATCCACAAACATGCCGTCAATGCCGCAGAGGTGGTTTGCTCTCCTTAGGGTGTCGCTGTGATGTCGCTCCCATTGAACCCATGGCTAACATGCTACACATGCTGCCAGACATGCCGGAAAAGTCATGCCCTGTGGCAATCAAACATGGCAATGGTTCTGTTTTTTTCGTTTTAACCACCGTTTTCCGAATTTGCGTCCGAAAAAACAAACGACGTCAATGAGCACATGTCTGCTGGTTCAACACCAAGATATATATATATATACATATACATTTGAAAATCTATGTGTATATATATATACATATATATATATATGTATATGTGTGTGTATTTATTTATTTGTGTATTTATTTGTTTTATATATATATATTAAATATATATATATATGTGTGTATTATATATATATATGTGTGTGTGATTAAACATGTAAAACTGGGAACATGTGCAACACGTCTGGAGGGTACCAACATTTTTTCATCAGCCACTGCTACCGGCCTAATCCACCACCTCTGCCATCTTATGCCGAGACACGTGTTCGGGCGAACCAATGGCTGGCCTGCACTTGATGGGTTTAAGTCAACGGTGATTTGTCCTGGTTCATAACCTTGGCTATCTGGTTGGTGGTTTCAACCCCTCTGAAAAATATGAGTTCGTCAGTTGGGATGATTCTTCCACTCCCAAAAAAAATGGAAAAACCATTCAAAATTCCATGGTTCCAGTCACCACCAACCAGTTTTTTCCTGTAGGCCAAGTAGCAAAAATGACAGGATTTCATGGTTTTGTGATGGGATTTTTGATTCACCCTCTGGTGTCATCAACCTTCGCCGGGACATCCGAAGGAACGAAACGGTTTTCGTTTTTTTTTTTCATGGCCACGTTTGATTTTTTCAGGGGTTTTTTACCCATGGCTATATTCTAAGCCTGGTAAGAATTGGTTTTCAACAATAATATTGTTGGTTGGGCCGTTAACCAAAAAAAACTTCTTCACTAATATGTTAATCCCATCTAATCCCAATCATGTTCAATTCTGGTTTTAGTTTATAGCTCAAAATAGCTATGGTTCGGTTGTTTTATCATTGCAATGGGGAATAGTGTTGGTCAGCCTCGAAAACCCTGAAGATGAGTAATACATGCCACCATTTACAGATATTTACAGTACGCCGGAAAATCTAAGCGCCAAATAAAATGTCCATGGAGGGATCATTCAGCAACGTAGGTGCTAGAGGGTGCAACCGCCCACATCTGCATCGTTGCATCGGCTGTGCCTCCCCAAAAGCACTGGTGCTTTTAATACGTCCGCTGACCTACGCAAAAACTGCAGGGTTTCATCCCCGTGGGTGAAGGACAATTTCATTGGATAAACCAGGGTAAGCCCAACAGTTTTCATTCTATCACTGGATTGGCTGAATAAAAAACTGTTGCCTTCTTCAAATCGTTGTAAGGGAACCTTTAGAACCGTTCCTCCTAAATCACATCACAATTTCAGGCCAAGTGTGTTGCCGTTTTCACTGCGGTGAGCGCTGCAAAATCCAGATCAGATGATTACTCTCGGCCCAAGGGCTATGGCCGTATATGGTTGTAGCATGTTGTGGCCACCCCTTGCCTGCATGTGCGAGTTGAAGGAAGCTGCGGCAAAAACTGTTGTGATGGCCACATGAAATCAAGATTAACGGTTTTCATGTATCTTCCCCCCTCATCATAGCAGAACACTTGCTAACCAGTTGGAAAAACCAAACGTCACGTGCGAAGTAAGATGCTACAAACAACTCGCTTGTTTCATGTCCTCAAAACATGCCATTGTGCTGCTACAAGAAACGCCATGATTGGGGGGAAACCTCACCACCACTCGCCAATGTAGCCCAACAAACGTGCAAGGTGTGAACCCAGCAGTGCTACCTGGCATCGCAACTCTTCAAGGTTGGCAAACGCAAGGCTGGCAAGGACGCAGCGCGATCCATGGCACACTAAAGTGTTGGGTCCGTCGGCGACAGACGCGATCGATGACGCTAGATGACGTTAGTCAACACGTTGGGTCACAAGTCCGTTAGCTCTCTTAATTAATTCGGACCTTGATGCGGCACTTGGCAGTTTGAGGGAAGGATGCCTCCAACCGTTGCTTAAAAATTGTTAATCCTATGACGCCTGCAATGTGGCGGGAAAATAGAAACATTATTGTGGAATTGTGATTGTTGCCGATTTTGTTTCTGCAATCACTTGGTCCACTGGTTTGCTTGCGGCAGAACAGACATACAATCCCCTCCAACATGTTCGAAAGCAATCCCATTTTCAGGCAACAAAACAAAGCGCACTTCGGTCGCGGTTCCGGACGCACTGATTTTCAATGAACAAAAGCACGCCCCCCAGAAAAAAAAAAACACAAAAACGTGGACAAGTGTTGAACATTTCAAGTCACCTCGGGCCCTCACATGCCAATCCTTATCGGCAACCCGAGGCAAGCATCAAATTAGCACGCGGTAGCAATTCTTGGCCCACACATGTTTTCTCCGGGATGTTTCTTTCCCTATTGGGGGGCGTTTCGGTGGAGTGAAACGAAGGACGGTGATTATATGTGGGCAGTCTCCAAATGTGTGTGTGTGTGGGAGAAGTCCAAGGGATCCAATTCCAAACAAGGGGCAGGAAAATGTGTATTTCCCCACCTGCCAGGTGAGGGTTGTTAGATTTTATCAGAGCTGTTCTCCTCCTCCTCCTCCGCCTCCGCATCCTCCTCCGCCATCTCCTCCTCGCAGTCCAGATCCCAGTGGGCACAGCCGGACCTCCACTGTGAGCGCCAGATTCCAGTGGGCACTGCCGGACCTCCACCGCGAGCTCAAGATCCCAGTGCGCACTGCCGGACCTTCCAGGTTGCAGTGGGCACTGCCGGACCTCAACCGCGACTTCCAGATCGCAGTGGGCACTGCCGGACCTCAACCGCGACTTCCAGATCGCAGTGGGCACTGCCGGACCTCAACCGCGACTTCCAGATCGCAGTGGGCACTGCCGGACCTCAACCGCGACTTCCAGATCGCAATGGGCACTGCCGGACCTCAACGGGAAGAATGTGAGAAAAGATGTCAGATAGAATGTCAGAAGGTATGCCAGATAGAATGCCAGAAAGAATGTCAGAAGATATGCCAGAAAGAATGTCAGAAGATATGTCTGATAGAATGTCAAAAGATATGCCAGAAAGAAGGTCAGAAGATATGTCAGATGGAATGTCAGAAGATATGCCAGATAAAATGCCATGAGATATGCCAGATAGAATGCCAGAAGATATGCCGGATAGAATGCCAGAAGATATACCAGATAGAATGCCAGAAGATATACCAGATAGAATGCCAGAAGATATACCAGATAGAATGCCAGAAGATATGCCAGAAAGTATGCCAAATAGAATGCCAGATAATATGTCAGATAGAATACCACAAAATATGCCAGATAGAATCCCAGAAGATTTGCCAGATAATATGCCAGAAGATATGCCAGATAGAATGCCAGATAGAATGCCAGAAGATATGTCAGAATATATCCCAGAAGACATGCCAGATAGAATGCCAGATAGAATGCCAGAAGATATGTCAGATAGAATGCCAGAAGATATGCCAGATAGAATGCCAGAAGATTTACCAGATAGAATGCCAGAAGATATGCCAGAAGATATGCCAGATAGAATGCCAAATAGAATGTCAGAAGATATGTCAGATAGAATGCCAGAAGATTTGCCAGTAAGAAAATGTATAAATGCCATGGTGGGGATCATTCGAAGTGAAGTAATTTTCATTATTTTTTCCAATGATTGTAGATTATGTTTGACGTCTTTGGAAATGACTTGAAATCCGGGTATCGAAAAAAAAACTAGAAATTCAGATCTGGGTGAATAAAAAATTGAAATCTGCGGGGACGGGGCGGAAAAGTGTACTGTAATATTACATTTTCTGATTCTGAGGTGGAAAAATAATATTACAATTTTCTGGGCCACCCCAACAATTGGAACATATTACATTTTTCTGGTGGCAAATTCCTCAAACCCACGGAATGATAAATGCAAGTTAGGAAAGTGTAAGGTGACAAACATCGGAAAATACCACCACATCCAACACATTGGCCTAGCAATTTTGTATTTAATTTAATCCCCTTCTGGAAATGGAAAAAAAATCGCACACTCTCATGTGCAGCGACAAGCGTTCATATTCACATATGTTCATACAGTCCCACAATAATCCTGCAAACATATCCAAACAACATCAAACAACACTTGATTTGGCCAAAAATACCAATGTCCTTTTCTGCCACTCACTTTCTTTTCGCGTCTGTTCCCATCAAAATTAACAGTTAACATTATTAAATCAATCAAATTGGAC